GTCACTCCAACCTACTCCTCACTTCACTCAGACCAATCATCTCATTCTCCAGACACCCCCCGAATCTCCCCAGAACTAGATAATTTCATTACCCTACAACAACAACCCTATCACCTTGACACCCCAACCATAAACCAAATCTCACCCACAATAGATTCATCCAACCCTCCTACCCCTACACCCTCTTCAATTTATACTGAATCATTAGCACCATCATCCACAACTACTGAATCTTCACTCAGCACTAATAGAGCTTACCGCACTTTTAAAAGGAAGTTCCCCAACCATCCTTTCCCAGCGAAACCAGGAACAGCCCGTGAATATATCAACCATCCACAACACACTAACACAAAAGAATTTTTAGCTATCACCTTACCCTCATTTCCACAATACACCTTAAACACCCCTCATGACACTAACGAAACACGTAACTTTGTAGACGAATACGTTTTAATGCCTACCCTTCCTTGGACCTCATATTATCAATTTACAAATCCCCTTTGCTTACCTTTATCTAACACTCATATCGATATAGAACGAAATAAGGACATGCTATATCGACTCACTACACCACTAACACCTAGACAATTTACTTACATTGGATATAAAAAATCACTAAAAACACACACTGCACCCCGAGCTAATGAATATACACTAGAATATTACGATCATAACATCATCAGAACTAACCAAGATCAATTCTTAGACGACGATCGCTTCGCTAACCCACAAATCACCGAGAAATTTTTCATTAAAACACCATATGTATTTACACTAAATATCTTCGATCGCAAGTTTGACCACATTATTTCAGAAGCACTAACAGACACGCAAGCCTACGAAAGTTTTAAAGAACGCTTCCAAATATTTTCACTAACCTTTCATTTCCTTGCACCACATGAAAGAGATTTGCACTGCTCACACGATATTATGTTGCGCACTAAACAAACACACACATATACTTATTATCGTTTCATCCAAAATCACTTTGACCTACACACTCCCTCCAGACAACCACACCATCGTTTTCAATTCATCAATTCCAAATACACCTCACCATTCTTTCTTAACTTCACATATTGCATTAAAGATATTAACCTTCATGGTATTCTTCGAAATTATGATCCCATAACCCAAATGTATATCTTTTGTCCCATCACCAAGACCTTCAACGCAGAAGAATCCCGACCCTTCCTCATCCCACACGAGTTTGTACAACCTATAGAAATCCCCATTTTAGAATTCATCCATAACACTAAATTCAACTACAAATTATATAATCTAATCCAAAACACACCTTATGAATTTGCAGTTGGCACTGAAGAACTAACCACCATTAAGGCACTTCAATTGCTTTGGCCACTGCTTCAAACTAAAAATATCATCCGCATCGTAGCCAAATTACTAACAACTTCAGATCTCATCCACGACATTTTCCCCCACGGTTTCTTCCCCGACGACTAACAGGTAAGTATGAATTATACATATTACTAACTAATTTAAATATTAGAAACTCACCATTCTTTATCCATGTTTTCTTTAGAATTTTAGCCTTCATCCTAGATCATCTGAAAAATTCACAAGAGAAAATTAAAAATAGGAAACTTCTTCAAAACTGTTTAAAACCCTATTAAATTTTTGCACCAACAATTAAATAAATATAATACCAATGCAGTAAATTAATTTATAAATTTTTCCCCCACAAGCAGTAAATCTAATAATGATGAAAATTTGTAACTTAATTTCCCCCAACAACTAGCAGTAAAATTAAAATTCTATGTAGTAAATTAATAAGAAGCAAAAACAGTACTAACCTTTTGCTATTTTCATTCACTCGCACAAGAATTCTATCCAAACTCGCACAGCTCGCCCACGAAGAATTGTTTAAAATAATGAATTTCAGTTTCAAGCTTTCACACTCGATAACTCTAACACAAGATAACACGTTTCAAACTTTCCTTTAACCCGGTTGGAAAGGAATTATATACTAAACAAAACTAACCAATGCAGCTTACTAAACACCACAACACATAGCATAACAGCATGACTAAGAAAAGGAAACCAACGGTACCCAAACCGGATTAACCCAGATTAAAACTGGATAATTTATTCTTTTGAAGACTATTATAAAGTCTAAAAAAGAAATAATAAAACACAAAAAAGTCGAAAGACAAACCCATACCACAAACAATTTGATTTTTGAAAAAAGGACACAACCAACAAAACATAAGAAAAACCACAACAAACCCAACATAAAACGTTGTCACATAATAGGTGCTCTCACAAAAACCGCATGCAATCATACTCCCACTCCTGGCCTAACCCACCAGGAAGGACGTCCTGAGCATGCTCTATAGCCGGCCTAACCCACCGTGCTACATCCACGCTTTGTGACCACACTCCTATTTTTAATAAGAGTTACTCAAGGGTGAGTAACTCTTCAAAATAACTGAACTAAAACAAAAAGCTTTTGTGAAAACAACTAACTAAAATCATAATTAAAAAAATATTAAACTAATAAAAGTTTTATAAAATGTAAATTACATTATGCAATACATAGATCAGAATACAACACCAAGGACGAACATCCAAAGACAAAACGACCCTACTACACTCGAGAAAGAATGGCCAACTACAATCAATATGCCGCCCACAATCACAACTCAAAGGATTTAGAGTACGACTTGACTTCGCAGAAAAGGAATTCATTGAACTAGACCAATGACCACCTCGATGTTCAAGTATACGTACAGATCCGAGTAACCAGGCATCCCCTCCACGCACAATCTCCACGCCATTCCCAGACAAGGTCAAACACAAAGAAGTTCTCACCAATGAAACAGAAAAACCTGACATAGCCAACCATTCTGAAATCAGATTTGAGTTTGTTGCGAAAACCCAGTCGTTGTCTTGAGAAGACACAACGATTGAATCTGGGACTTCTCTAATAAGAAAACGCAGAAGAAATAGGATGTTCGCCAAATACCAACGTCCATCATCCATCTTTTGAATTGCAGAAAGACTATTCTAAAAAACTCTGTAAAACCCGGATGGGTGGAACCTGATCTAAACTACATTTTATGATTGGATAAATTAGATATTTTACCAATGTAAAGTATTTAATATTAACCAATCATGATCCATCTAACTAACAATCCACTTATTTGTAAGTGCTGAAATTACTTGTAATTTCAGCACCAGAGAGATTTGAATTTAACTTAGAAATTAGTTGAACTCTCCCGAGTACTTCAGCAGCCGCAATAAACCAGTATACCCTAGATCTATTGAGCCTAGCAGAGACTAGTTAAACAACCTGAGACTAGATAGTATAAGAGTAAGATTAGGATCGGTATTAGACTAAGAAGTTGCACGAATCTATCCGGCCGAAAATAAGATAGCGTGACGAGCAGACGGTGTACCCTATCCGAAATTACTCTATGAGTTATACCCATCGGTCCTAACTCAAGATGGTTACTGAACATTTGGAAGAATTGAGGACTAAAGTATGGTAGTTGACGATTGTGAAGAAAGCGGTAAAGATAATTTTGATGTTATTTGTTTTCGATGTAGTCATTGAAATCCGCAGCATAGCTTATATCACACTAGACCTCACTTGATTAGGTTTACAATTTTAAATTTTTCTGGTGTTTTGAAGCAAGATGAATGTCCTCCAGACAATACTTAGCAAAAAAAGCACAAATTGCTTGTAATCTATGTGTGATAGGATCAACTATGACTAAGTAGTACAGAGTTGATTGACTAAAAAATGATTTTCAACGATATTCAGTCAACAGCATGATTTATGCGTCATCTCTAACTTCAACTGAAGCTCGTAGATTGATAGAAAAATCTTTTCATAGCTCGCTTTTTTTTGCTGAGAATTACTTGCGATGCAATTGAACAACAACTGACAGCAAGATTTTTGGTTGCCTTGCTTTGCTGTTTAGTTTTATCTCATTTAGGTTATGTAGCAATTTTTTTTATATAAAAAACACTATTGAGAAGTCGATGAAAATGATTTGAACTGGAATTTACTAGTGACTTGTTTTGGATCCAAGCTAAATTCCTTCACCGCACCAAAACAGGTCCTTCATTGGAGTTGAAACAGAAATGATTTGAATTTCATTACTTAATTTATATCAATGTCTTACTAATAAAAAGAAAACCGTTGGAAATGCATTGAGGTAGCCGACCCCCAATTATAGAAACAAACATCTTACTAAACAATTGATAACTGATAATCATTTTTTTTGCTTCTTCAAAAAAAAAACAGTTTCCATCTCACTTTGAAAAAATGGAACTCAGTGGAGTTAAATTACGAAAAGTTGACAATGGCACTGGAAAGGTTACAAACTTAGGAAGTCTACACCTACACGCTACTCGAACCCAATAAGTAGCGTAAAAACATAACCAACACACTTTCGGACAAGAGTCAAGGAACGCAATGAAACATAAAAAAAATACTGGCTTTGAAAATATTCAACTTTTCGAGTTTCAAATAACAAACTATGCTCTTGAAACCTTTTCATTTTTAACAACAATTTTGATTGACACGTTTTAAATTAAATTACCCCAATTTATCCCAAACCGAAGAATGAGTGATTTTTTACTCCGTTGTGAAATTTTAAAAATAAATGTTCATCGACTCTTACTAAATAGCGTGAGTTCCGGTCTGATAAGTAGTTTCGGTGTCAGGACAAAAGATACCATACCAAAAGCTCGATTTCAATATATTTCCGACAAATTTTACAAATGCTTTAAAAGTTGAAATTTTTTAATTCTATATTCATGTTTATTATTTTAATTCTGTTCTTTGAATAGACCAAGTGAACAATCTACCCCAATCATTAAATGGCAAATTTAAGCAGTAAGGCCTGCATGTACTATGCTCAAATCTGATCGGCAGAAAAATGTTACTTTTAACCAAGGGAACCCTCTCCCACTTAATTTGATTTAGGGGGGAGATTATTCACTTATAGTCCAGTTCTTCGACCACTTACTTGAACTGTAGGTCCTGGCCGTGTTGTATTCCGAACATGCCGAAGTCTGATGAGGTCAGCGTGACAGTGAGAGCGTCGTCATCTAGGTCGAAGCAGCCGAACAGAGCAATGATATCTGCAATGTGGCCTACAAAAAAGAACAGAAGTGAGAATTGAGGCTTTTAAATTTGCGAACTTTGTGACTCAATAGTGAACTAATTTGCGATTTTTTAGAACAAGTTAGCACAAAATATGAAAAAAAGAAAGTGCGAACCTATTCATTTTATAAATTCTCATATTTTGATTATCTGAAAATATGGGCTGTTTAAGTAAAAAGACAGCCCCCTCCCCTGATGCCAAATAAGACTGATTTTTCTCTGAAACAGTCAGAATTATCAATGAGAATTCAACCCTTTTGCAAATGGGATAACTGATTATAAATTGTCTAGTTAGATGCAGCGCATTGATTGATATGGAACATATGGTCTTCTTGGAAAAGTGTGTGGACTGAAATGCGTTTTGTGTGGTGTAGTGCTTACCTTGGGCTATCAGACTGTACTCTTCGAAGACGAGAGAGCGCGAAGAATGGGTGCACACGGGCGAGTAGAACGACCCAGCTCCGATCTACAATACATTATTGAAGACATAATACAATGCATTTTTGTAGACATAGTAATTCAAAATAGGAGATTCTTTTTGATATTATTGCTCAAAATGTCATTTTCCCCAGTTGAGCCGATACAAATAATTTTGTAAAAAAAAAGTTCAAGACCGCTCTGAAACTATAATGAGCAAAACTTGCATTTATCGCGAAAACGGCTTACAGCACCAGAAAATTGCGTGTTGTAGCAACTAAGCCGAAAAAACTTAAGCAGACAAACTGAAATCCAACAATTCAATTTTTACAGCGAAATCTTTCAATTTCATACATACTGAAAAAAAAAACAAGTCCTGGCCGGGATTCGATCCGAAGACCCTAGGGTGCAAAGTTACCACTAAATCAACAATACTGCTCGTATATCAGGGCAAAGCCCTGAATGTTACGACTGTCCCTTAGTTCACATCGAATAGTTTTTGGGAAAAGAAAATATTGAAAATCTATACATTTTGGACAATATCAAAGTGTAAAATTAATACGACCACTGAGCTAGCCTCAATTCAACTTGGAACGATTTTGTTGTGGGGGACAATTTGCCACGCATAAAAAATTCGTGTTACGCTCTCAGCATTATGAATAAACTCTTCAAAGCGCGCATAATTTAGTCCACAACATGGAAAGTTTGGCAATTTTCGAACCCACAGAACTTTACAAAAAATAATCGGAGGTGAAATATCTTACATTTGAACTCAAGAAGTTAATACCTTCAATGGGTTATAAAAAAATTTTGGTGAAAATTATTATTTCGACTGGTGAAAATTGACTGAATAAAAAACTACACCGAGCATAAATATTCCGTTTTCTTCGAAAACCGGAACAATAAAATAGTAAGCAAGAAAAGCAAGTAAGGTTTATATAAAAAAGTTGTTTACGGGAAAAGCCTAGTTCCCGAATACAAGACCCATGCTGTCGCAAGTGTTACACAGAGGCGAAGCGGAGCTTTGCAACACTTGCATCACAAGAAAAACAATGCATTGCAAGTCATTTTTTTGAAATCTTAACCAAAAAAATTAACCAAAAAACTATATCTATCACATGTTTCATAGCTTTGGCTTGTATGATGTTCATGAACAGTCTTGAAACAACTTTAAAATTAACGAACAAGCGTCAATTAAGGCAAAACAAAAATTGAGGTAGGCCCCTCTTAAGTCACAAAAGTTTCAAGTTACAAAATTTTTGAAAGCAAAGTGGTCAAGATCCAAAAAAGCAAACGACTTAGAAAAATCCCCCTTGAAACTACGCAACATCAAATGACTCAATGAAACATTAGCCAAATCGATTTAAAAAAATCAGTAAATTTTTTTTTTAATTAGAGTTGGTAATTTAAACTACAAAACGAACTTCGATTCTAGTTATAACTATGGGCCCAGCTAACTGTGGATGTATCTGTTTGATGTTTTAAAAGATGAAATGGATTATTTTTAAAGCCTACAACCATAATTGTTTTTCTGCTAGAATGAATGATAGTTCATTTCGCGAGTGTAGGTGAGATACCTATTACCCGTTCTTATAAATGAACTCAAAATGAAATTAGGCAGGGTGTTGGACTTTTCCCGCATTCTGTTCATTTGAACGAATTTGTGTCTGCGGAGACAGTTTTGTCGGGAATATGACAATAAACTGTCTTTTTGATCGAACTTGCAATCTCAGATATGTCGGGGATAGTTTTTGAGAAGTGGAAAAAATGTGAAAAATTTGCAAATGACAAAAATGTCAGAATAAGATCAATTCATTTTTTTCACACAAATAAAAGGGTCAATTTTTTGCCAACACTTAATTTGATTTAAACTATGATGTCACATAATTGGTAGTGTAATTTTTAAAAAAACAAAAGGTTTCCAAAAAAGGTCAAAACATCAAAAGCTTGAATTTTCTGAGGGTCATAACTTTTTGGGTGACTTTTTGGATGTAGCCGCTTATGCGCGTTAAATTTTTTTAAAACCTTTTCTTTCGATTAAGCCCCCACCTCTGATTTTGGAGAGTACTTTTTGAGACAAGCCAAAGTTTCAAAAAACGGTCAGACAATCAAAAAATGACCTATCAAAGCCATAACTTGGATAGGTAGAAAAGTTGGATAGGTAGAAAAACTTTTAAAAATTATGCAAGCAAACAGAAGAGAGGGAGGAGTTTTTGTTGAAACCAACTTTTTGAAATTCGTTTCAGAAGTATTTAGGAAAAACTAAACTTTTTTGAGAAAAACGAAAACGAAAAATTCCAAAAAAATCCCATGTTTTCATAATACCTGTGTGTTTATCAAGCAGCAACTTTTCGAATCTAAAATTGAAACCACCCAGTCTTTGAAAGAAATTGTCGGAAAAGCGGACCAGATAAAATAAATTTTATATGAAAAAAAAAACTGAAAATCAGCCGACAGAAATTAGGACGGTCAAAAAATCAACAAATTGATTTTTCTGAGTTCCATAGCTTTTAGAGACAAAATTTTGGACGTAACCGCGTATGCATGTGAATTTCCCACTTTCTGTCATTTCGATTGGGTCACTTTCTGTAATTTTGGTTGGTAGTTATCAAGAAAATGAAAAATTCCAAAAAAAATGCGTCAAAAATTCCTCCAGAACAATTTTTGGAAGGCTGTAGAAAGTTTTATAAGGTAGAAAAAACTAAGGGATAATGCAGTAAGACGGAGGAATGGGCGCACTTTTCATTGGCACCAATTTTCGAGTAAAACTGAAATTTTTGAGAAAAACGCGTAAAATTTCCAAATAGATTCAAAAAAAGCTAAAAAAGCAAATCCCATGCATTTTCATACTACCTGTTTTATCAATCATGAACTGTTCGAATCAAAAATTAAAAAAACCCAGCTTTCAAAAAAAATTGCTGGAAAAGCGTATCAGATAGAATAAATTTCATTTGACAAAAAACGAAAATCATCCGACAAAAGTAAGGACGAAACCAACAAATCCGAAAAAAAAAATTAACATATTTTCAACTCATATAATTGAAAAAAATAATGCATCGAAAAGTAGTTTTTTTAAGTTTTAAAGAAATTGAGCATGTCAGCAGAAGCAGAAATGTGTAAAAGTTGTTTATGGGAAGGAAAAAAGTCTAGTTCCCGATTACAAGACACTAGCTGTCGAAAATCTAAATATTATATTCACGTTCAAATTAATAATCTATTTGAGTATTGTTTTTTTCGTCAAAGTGGACAAAATTGAATTTTGCTTTTGCTTCATAATATTCGATCAAGTTCAAATAAAAGCGTTTGCGTGTATCAAAGCCGAATACTCGGCTAGCCGAACAAATAAAGCTATGCTTACGGATATTGTTAGTGTTGCGAAATCGTCAGCCGTGTCTGGGAAATTGAGCCAGGAATCACTGGCTATGATCTCCACCACAACTGTCGTCGATTCCTCTACATCTTTGATCTTCCGTGTCGTCCGCACAGTGCCGTCCGGGTCAATGGCGAACAGGTCCGACCCTGCAGTATACAAAACAAAATGGGTGGGTCAACAAGCCGAAGGGCCAAAAAGCCAAAAGTTAAAATTGTTATGCAACATGGCAGCAGATTTTAACTGTTGTTATGAAGTTTTAACGTAATTTTGACCAGAAAACGAAAGCCACTACGTCCAAACAATGAAAAAGTTTGGACCTTTTTAACATCCTCCCCCCTAAACACGTTTAGGGGGGAGGATATTAACTTGGTTCTAAGTTGGGAATTTTCAGCCAATCAGAATCGAGCATTTTACAAATTTGCAGCGCTTAGCAAATTTAATTTAAATTAAGCGCTGGGGTGGAGGATCTTACCTTGGTCTATTTGGGGGGGGGGGGGGGGAGGATGTTAACTTGATCCATCCAAAAGTTTCAAAAAATAACAATTAAGAAATTCAAAATGTTGTCTGGAATGATTTTCTTTTTGCGGAAAACACGTTCAGAAACACAATTGATAGTGTTTAATGAAAACTCAAAAATAATTATCGAGTGGCAACTGAGCCAACAAAACTACGGTAAGTTTCAGTAGATCCGGAAACAAAAAAAAACTGTTGTCATAAAAAACTTTGAAGTATAAATTCTATTCTAAGACTTAGTATTTTGTGCAATACAGGGGAGCATTTAAAATTTGTTTCCTTTGAAACGACCCAAAATAAGGTCACTAAACAATGAAAAATGAACCAAAAAACTTGGACAAATAGGATTTTAAAAGAAACAAAATAATGCAAAGTCAGTCTAAGTAAAAATTACAAAATACAGGAGTAAATCAAAACAATAAACGGCACTACAAGGAAAACTGCTTGGAGTAGAAGAAAAACTATTCTAAAATTGTTACAAAACATATGCAGACAAATTTGAAGCTGACAATTTTATTTGAAACACGATCATTTCCGTTTGAGAGAAAAAAGTTCTGGTAAGACTCAAACCCAGGACCTTGCCGTCCCAGGCGTTTTCGTTAACTCCAGGCTAACTGCGCGGGAGAGGCTAAACATTTGAATTGATTTGGAACCAAGATGATGAGTCAAGATAAGTTCTGACAAAAAATTGTTTACGTGAAAAATTTAGTACCTGGTTGCAATATGCTTGCTAATTGCAAGAGTGATGGCACTCGACCACTATCTCTATCTTCAAGTATAGCTGCAACCTTATGACAAACAAACATACATGTGTTTTTACTAATTCCAACCAAAAGTCAATATTTCAACATCTTGAACAGAAACTATTTTGCTTCAATCTGATTAACAACAATTAGTCAATCAAGTATCAGCACCATTTCAATTTTTTTTTTCGCAATTTCATGTCGGCTTAAAAAATAATCCGAACTGGACATAAATATTAAATGTTGGGTAAATGTTTCAAATTTATTTGAAATAAGACTATTCTCATCAGGATGAAGCACGGCATGCTCCGACTGCCTTTTAAGGTCTATGAAGTAGTGTTCACATTAAAAATAAATTGAAGATAATTTTAAAAAAAATTGAAAAAATATCTATTTTAATTTTTTTTAAATCAGCCCTTACGCGCTATGTTAAGTACAAAGTGATTCATTTCGCATCTACCGAAAAATTAAATAGACCAAATAGCATGCTTCAATTCAAATAGGAGCGATTTCTAAGACGGAATTAACCCCCTAGCTTTACGAAAAATGATCACAGAAGAGATATCTGTTTAAATTGAGCTCAGAACAACCTTTCAAATTATTTTACAAATTTCTTCAAAAACTGCTTGCTACAAAGTCGAAGCGTGTCTGGAAAAAAAAACAAAAACATCCCGATTACAAATATTCCTTTATTTTTTGAAATTCGGAACAAAAAGAAACCCATAATTTGGTTAACTTATTTGAAACTAAGTTAAATTTTGGCAATTTTTTCGACTTTTCCAAAAAAGTGAGGGGGGAGTTTCACGAAAAAAAAAATTGTTTGAAAATATACCGCGGCATCATTCTGAATGATTGACTTATAATTTTTAAACGATCTGAGAGCTCTATCAGAGCAGTATCGATACATGAGAGGCAATGGTCTTTCTGTGTTGTTCGGTAGGTCTTATGCCCATTTGGACAGAAACTTTGGAAGGACAACTAACGGATGTAGGATCTCTTAACGGTACTTCTATGATAGGGTGTTCCTGATAATCAGACACCTAGAGCTCTTAAATTGTTTACAATTTATGATTTCGCCATTCAGAAAGATGTCGCAGTATATTTTGAAACAAATGTTTTCTATGTTTTACTACTCAAAACCTCCCCCTCACCATTTTACGGTGGAAAATGCAAAAAAAAGTCAAAATTATAACATGCGAAAAGTATGCGGGGCCTGTCTATCATAGTTGCTTTTCCGGGGGAACACTCTATCATAGTAGTACCCTCTTAACTATCCCCCTTTTGATGGTACCGAGTAACGAATTCCCACCCCTATGAACTAATTCAACGGTTAAGCATATCATATGCTTAACTGTTGAATTAGCTCATTATACGGGTGGGAATTCGTTATAGGAACAAAAAGTTGGGGGTTAGTTAAATAGATCCGACATCCGTAGTTAGTCCTTCCGAAGTCTTCGTCCAATTTCCAATTGCATATGTGAATATAGTACTTAGTAACAAATCGCAGCAAAATGGAAGAACTAGTTACAGAGATCCCGGATGTCAAGTGTAAGATTCCCAATTACTTCTTGTCTTAGATTCAGAAAAGACCGCTCGAATTAGAACAATCTTCCAAAAGTTACCCTTTACCCTTTAAAAGGGTTTTTTCATTACGAGCCCGAATTCAAATACATTGCCCCTTTTGAATAATTCTACACATGACATTTTCCCCGCTGTTTGCTTTCATTATTAAACTCTTCAATAAACGTAGTCGGTCAAATTTATACGACGGGAATTTACCGTTTGTGTATTCATTTAATAAGAACGAAGCAAATTTGAAAAGCATATGTTATATTTCATTCAAATATAACTGAGTCCAAACGAGGCGGAGCAATGAGCAGAATAGTCTGAATGCAGAGAGGGTCTAGAGCAGGAAAACACAAACATATTGATTCTTTTGGGCAAATAGGTAAAATAACTACTAGAATCGTCAATACTACAAATGAAATGAATAAAATTTACGCAGATTGAGTTTATTTTAAGTTGATGTAAAGTGCACGTAAATCAACGATCGGGCTTTTCTCATGGGCGAAGGACACACGGGCGGTGGGCCGAAATCAAAAACAGTCGTGAGTCACTTATTAAAATGAATCAATTGCGGTTCAATAAAAAGGAATTAAATGAAGCTATATTTAGCTTCTTTTATAACGAAACCCTTGCGAAACATACAATCTGTTCTAGTTCGACTGAGACGCAGGAAACCCCCTCTATTAATTAATGCATTGGGGGTTAATTAGATCATTCTATTACTTCAGTCTGAATTTTGGACTGTTCGAAAAATGAACAGCCTTCCAAAAGTTGCTTTAAAAAAGCGTAGTGTTATAGTACGAATCTTCTATTTCATGTCTGTTCACTTGAAAACCTTGTACAGACAAATAACATCAAGGTTCTTATACTAAATTCATTTTTTCATTATTCAAAAAAAATAAGCTACAAGTTTGCTTTCCTCAATTGTTGTCAGTAAACTGAATGTTAGTTCAAAAGAGTAGTTGTTTACTTGAAGAGGGAAAATTGTCTCAAGCTTGAAAAGAATATTTTATATTGTTCATAGCAGGTCTTAATCCGAAATTTAGACCAATGCGCAAAATAAGATTGAATACTTGCACAGACCATTAAGACGACATGCGTTGAGCCGACAAATTGAATAAAACATTTCAACTTGCTAATATGCCAGTCGCGGAGGAGTTCGTTGATACTAGGACATACTTTCAGTTAATTGAGATTAAAAGTTCATATATACAAATGCTCCTTATTTTTTCTGCTATACAGTTATACGGCCCAAAATTATTAGCTAGTTAAGGAGATCCAAATTCAGTAGTATGCGAGTATGCCCATGTAGGGTATAAACCAGATCAGACGTACCTCCAACAATTCGGAAGAGAGTAGTGTCTGTGATTGTGCCGTCCGTGTCCTGGTCTGTGGCAACCAGCGCCGGCGTCAGAGTCAACATGGCGCCTACAAACGAATCAATTAATATTTCAAACTTAATTAAACCAGTGAACTTCACTTAAACTTTTTTTCAAACTTCACTTTTTTTCAAACTTCACTTAAACATCTAAAGTGAGGCTGAGAAATAGAATTGAAGGTTAAGATCAATAAAATTGAATTGTTTTCTTTAGTGGCATCAGCGGGTATTTTTTTGGCAGGAGGGCGGGGGGGGGGGGGGGGGGGGTTGGGTCAGCTTTTTTTTAGCTGCCGAAACCCTACAATGAACTTATGCGCTCAGCGGATCTACTTAACAATCTCCACCCCTTTCAAGAAAGGGGGGAGATTGTTAAGTAGGTCAAATGGTCGATTTTTCAACCAATCAGAATGCAGCAAAACAAAAATTCTCAATAGAAAGCTCAGTGCTAATTTACTGTATTTATTTATAGGGGTGGAGATTCTTAAGTAGGTACCATAGGGGGGGGGGGGGGGGGGGAGATTGTTAAGTAGATCCCGCTCAGCTCCCCCTGAAGTTATATTGCTGCTTTATCCGTTTTCTTGAAACATCCGACTGAAAATTGCTGAAAAGATACTTGCTTGTTGCCACCCCTTCCCTAATTTTTATACAGCCCCCCATTATAATTAAATCACAGATTAATGGTGCTATGATTTGTTTTTGTCACTAGGCTTTGGGAGGAAGACTTAAATGGGGTACTCTAAGTTTGGGGAGGGGGGGGGGACTTAACAGACCCATGTATCTGTTTGTATGCGTACCTGGATTTGCGTTGATCCCGACTGTCGAGGTGTAGGCTGTGGCCCCCAGCACAGGGGGGTTGTCATTAACATTGGCCACATTGATAGTCAGCGAGAAGGATGCGTCACACAGATTAGTAGTGTCATCTAAGTCGCACACTCTGAAACAGAAACAACAGACATAATGGATCTCATTGACTACCCCCCCCCCCCTTGTGCAAAAGGAGGGGGGGATTCGTTACTAGACTCGTGCAATAGGGGGAGACTTTAGGAAGCTTGAACTTCCCCTGTTTAATCCACGCGCAAAATGCCAGTCAAATTGAAAAAAAATTAGGGAAAAATAATTTTTTTTGTCACAAAAAACAAATGTGACCAGAATTTTCTCACTGCGAAATGTCTTTTGTTGCGCGTTGAGTTGTAAAAGGAACCGAAGATTTAGGATTCTGTCAATAAAATATTTTTCCAAATGCTTTCTCTAGGTTGACTAAAGTGATAATCTGAATTCACAGACCACTGAAAAATTACCTAATTTGACACAATTTTCTGCTATTTTCTGAAAAATTTTATGGGTGCTGTGCCAAAAACGGATGTCAGAAAGTAGTAGCAAACGGGGACTCTTTGAGTAGCCAGGATATCAACTTTTCTCATCCGAGCCGATTAGTGTTCAATTTAGTTATTCGCACACAATGGATGCCATGAATAAATTAAGTGCACCTTTGGGCGACCAGGAGAATGAATTTTATAGTCCAAGCCATTTAATTTTCGATAGAAAGGTAGGACAAACCGTACAACCCCCCCCCCCCCCCCGTTTGTATGAGAACTGATTTTTTTCATAATTAATACATGCTTGGGGAGGGCATTCTACGGTAGGTCTCTTCACTTAGGACGGGGGGGATATACTTACTTGCAAGTGATAGCTGGATAAGCAGTGGTTGTTTCGTAGTCCAGTGCGGTCTTAGTGTAGACATATCCGTCCTCTGTGACTCCGAAGTTGGCGTTGGCAGCTGTGAATGAGAACTGCAGGTTTGTCTGGCCTTGGTCTGCCACATCCGGGTCACTGGCTCGCAGGGCGAAGATGGTTGAGCCTAGGGATGTGCAAAAAGTTATTATCACACCACTCGATGGGCCGGCTTTGAAACAACCCCTACCGCTGAAGCTCTTCATTTTAGCCTAATTTTGGTTCCGGTAGATGATGGATTATACACTCTGCGCATTTTCGGCCGGTTTATACGTCAGCTGGTTTATTCACACTCTAATACTGGTACAGTAATGATAAGCTCTGCAACTTCAATCTGGGACGCTGTCGTAACCCAAGAGTAATCCATCCCTATTTGAACTTTAATTAACATTTTCGAAATTTTTCCTGCTGGAGGTGGTTTCAATTCAAAAACAGTTTGAAAATTCAAACTTGCCTAAGTTTTTTTTAACCCACGCTTAATTCGAGTTTGTGCTCCAACTATCGAAGAAAGAGACAGAATAATTGTGCTCCGGGTGGTGTTTTCTCCAGACAAATTTCGATTTTCTAACTAGCCATTTTTGACGAAATCTTCTTATATAACCCGAAACTTACTGCTGTCCTGAACTCACTTTCAAAAAGATGTTATACCAGTGATCATTTTTCGTAAAGTTATATGGGTTTAAAGATTGCCAATCTGGCCAATTTGGGACACTTAAGGCGCGATATGTGTGGCGCTAATAACGTGTAAGCGGAGGTTTAATCCGTCTCCAAATTTCTTCCAAACTGGTTGAAGCAGGCTAATTGCCATGATTGCTGCGTTAATGGGAGCGAAAGCTACCACTTTGTAATTATATAGCGTGTGCAGCGATGATTTTAAGAAAATTTGTTTCAGAAAACTTTATCCACCTTTTGAAAGCAAACCTTACTTAGTTGACCTTTAAAGGCAGACAGAACATTCAGTGTTTTAGCCTGGTACGAGCAATCTTGTTTGTGTATTAATTATCCATTTCAAAAATCTCGCGATCTATGTTGAATTTGAAAGTTTCAGTCAAAATTATCCGTACTCATAATCGTTCCAAATTGAATTGAGGCAAGCTAATTGGTCTTTTAAAATCCATATACGACTCAAATTTTAACCCTTTACAAGACTGCTCGTATCAGGCCGAAGCCCTGAATGTTCCGACTGCCTTTTAAGGTTTATGGAGCAGCAGTAAAAACTTTAAAAAATTCAATGAAATAAAATAAAAACGTAAATTTTTTTTTGAATTTTTTTTTATGAAAACCATCACCCCACATTTTTTTATGAAAGCCATATAAAACACAAAAAGATAGATTTCGTTCCTTGTAACATATCAATTATGGCAAATAAGCTTCGTTAAACCAATTTGGAACGATTTATAAGACGGATTAAATCTCCGCTTACGCGTTAGTAGCGCGAATTATATCGCGCATTAATTGTCCCAAATCGGTCAAAATGGCAAAAATGGCAATCTTTAAACCTTCATAACTTTACAAAAAATGATCACAGGTGAAATATCTTATAAAATTTAAGCTCAGGACAACAATACCTTTTGAATGATATAAAAAAAGTCGAAATTTGTCTGAAGAAAAAAAACCCACCCGAGCACAAATATTCCGTTACTTTCGTATCGAAAGTCGGAACAAAATTGATATTATCAGCCTAAAGTTCGTCGTTTGTCGATATACCATTAACCAAAAACTATTTGAGACCAATATTTTGGGCAGTCGCTTACACTACTACGAGAAGTCGCGTTCAATTCTCGCGTAGCACATAGCGGTGAATTATCCAACTCAGAAACAACCCACAAGGATTTGAGGCAAATTGTTTAAGCTAGAAAAGTAACTTGTACTTGACTTTGGGGGAGGGGGGTGGAAGGCTTAAATTTAATTACGGGGAGAGTTATGGAGAGCTTTTATAAAGTTATGGGCGGTTATTATGGGTCATCTTTTTACCAATGGGTAAGTTTTCGTCGATTGTGATGGCGGTGGGCATGGGAAAGAATGAGGGGGGCTCATCCACATCTGCCACATACACTGTCACCAGAGCATATGCATTGTAGGGGGTGTAGGTGGTGAACACTCCCACTGTCAAGTACCACACACTCTGAAATATTCAATTATCATTACCATTGAAGTTATATTTTTAGAAACATAGCCAACAAGCAGTTGGAATTGCGCCAATGAACTCAAATACAACAGAAAAAAAAATGTTGCATGGCGGAGCTATCAAAAAAGAAAAAATAGAAATATCATGTTGCAGCTCTCAAAAATTGAAGAATATTCTATCAGGGGCGGATCTAGGATTTTCTCGAGAGGGGGGGGGGGGGGTTTAATTTCGTCGACCATTTTTTTTAGGTCGACCGAATTGATTTTTGGAGCTCTCCCTAAGCTCGGTTTAAACCTTGCTTTGGCCAAAATTTTCTGCGCCGCAGGCAAAATTTTGAAAAAACAGTCCTAAAAGGCATTTTTAGGCAATTTTTGAAAATTTTTGACCAAAAAATCGCGTTTTTTCGGCGCGCGCTCCCCCTCAAAATTAGTATATATTGGCGCCAAAGGCGCCTTCAGAAAAATTTTAGGGTTGGTCTATGATAAAAACTTGAAACTGGCCCGAATTGAGACAACTGGATCAATAGGTATTTTTTATTCCGCTGGGACCTAAAAATTCAAAACCACTAATGAAATCATAATTGATTCACGTTTTTTTGCGCCACAGAGCTTGTGAACGCAATTTACACAACTCTTAGTATGTTAACTTAATTTGAACTAAAAAAGTGTATATAAACATAAATTCATTCATAATCGCATTAAAAGGTATGTAATAATGGTCTGTATTAATTAAAGCATTATAAGATTTTAATAAAACAAAAAAAACCATTCACTATGTTCAATGACACTTAAAAACAAAACACAAAAATTATCTTGAGCATCAAAACATAAATCAAAAGTAAGTGTCAGTGGTACTTTCAATAGTAACCAGTTAAAACCATACTCATTGCATTAAATTGAATTATTTAGTGCGAAAAGAGTAGAATTTTCGCTGGAACCAGTCGAATCAAACATCGACATATAATCAAATATGGCCAACAAATAAGGGAAAATGAAGAAAAAAATTGATAAAAAACTGAAAGTTTCAAAATTCGAAAAAATATATCGCGCTGAACTTTTTGATTTCCATTTATGACATCAAACATAAACAACTTCTAAGACATATTACTGAAAAAAAAAACAGAAAAGAAGCATTCCCTGCTGTGACAATTGTACAGAACACATAAACAATTACTGTTTTTTTTTAATTATTATTCGTCTATATTCAATTAGCTAAATAAAAAAAACTGCGTAGGCAGTTTCAGTGCTTAAAAAAATTTACAACCAAAACGGAATTCAATAATCGCCGCAATTTCACTAATATTGACCGCCCGGGTTGACGTCTATAGAAGGAAAACGCTTATCATACAATTTCATATATGGCGTCTAAGCAAAAAATGCTTATCATGCAAATTTCATAAAAATTTCAAAAAGTTTTGTAGATTTTTAATATTTTTGTATTCTATTTGGCTCATTTGAAGCTTTCTGGTCATGAAATAAATCATAAAAAATTTTGAATGAAAAAATGCTAATCATACAATTTCATAAAAGGGAAAAATGATTGTCATACAATTTCAAAGAAAAAAATTGCTTTTGCTAATTTCATAAACTTTTGTCTTAAAAAGTATGGCAAAACGCTTGTTGTTTATTTTCAGAATGTGGAAAAAAATTTCATCGTATGGAAAAAATGCTTGTCTTGCTATTTTTTTAGTATTTTTTGATGTATGAAATAATATGATAAGCATTTTTTTCAGAATTTGAAGAAGTATGATAAGATTTTTTTGTCAACCCGGGCGTATCAAGCCAAAGTTTTGAACGTTCCGAATAAGTTTTATGGTCCATGGAGTATAGTAGAAAAACTAGATAAAATTATCAAAAAACGATTGAAAAAGTGTTAAATAAACTTTGAGATTTCTTTAAAAAATCATCCCCGCACACGCTATGTTGAGTACAAAGTAATATAATGCGCAAATAGCAAATTTTGAAACTGACCAGGTAAGGTGTTTCAGTTTTATTTAGAACGATTTCTTAAACGGGCTAAATCTCCGCTGACGTGATATTAGCACGATATAAATTGGTCACATGCGTAATTTTTTGTAACCTCATAATTTTAACAAAAATGATCACAGGTGAAATATAATTTTAATTTCGAGCTCGAGACAACGATACATTTCGAATAATATTTTCAAAATTCCGTCAATAAATACTTGTTAATAATAAAGTTAATTTCTACAAAGAAAAAAAGTTGTGGTTTCTGCAATTCGCAGATGTATGATAGGTTTCTCGATGTATCTCAACTTTTGCCCCGTATTCTTCAAAGTTTTATGCCATGTGAAATAATATTCTACAGGCAACAGTATCACCCGAGGGTTCTACTTTATAAAGAATCAAAAACCAATCATTTAAATATCGATTTTCTGGAAAACTCATCACCGAGCAAAAAACACTAAGTACAGAGAGCTTCAATTTTTGTCTTATAAACTCATAAATCAACATATTTGCACGTTCACCAACAGACACACTCACAACAACTCAAACAAATGAGAGAATTATACTTCATAGAGATTAGAATATTATTATTTTTAAAAATTATCAAAGCCTTCCACCCAAAATGTGATGATCATAAATTGCTAAACTTCAAAACAGTATTATAGAAAAGTGTATGAAAAGACTAATCAGCGATTATCAAATATACGCAAAGCAAAGCTAGATGTTGGATTTTTTTGTTCGAAATGAAAGAAAAAAAACTATTGAAAAAATTTCAGTATCATAACTGCTCGAGACTGTTGAAGACAAGAAGTTTGGGCAAAAAAACGGAAAACTTTTTTTATGCCTCTTACTACACTAAAACGAAAAAATTGTTGATTGTCTCAATTACACTGAACGTCAGAAATTCGACTGATAACTTGTTCATAGTATGACTAAAAGCTTTCGAAACTAATCATTTTTGAAGTCTCAACTTTTTGAAGTTTTGACAGTAGCAACGACGCCCACTTAAAGTCAATTTTTAAAACTAATTGCACCTAAGACTTTAAAAAAATGCTAAGAACTTTAACTAAAAAGACAAATTTTTGCGGTTAGATCCGAAACATGATTTCTGCGTATTCAATAAATTATGTTTTTCAAACAATTAATTTAATTTTTCTCAATTAAAATTTTTTTTTATAACATTTATGATTTCCAACCTGCAATTCGTAGTCCAAAAGTGCAATGGACGCAGCCGGAGCCGCCACTTCCAGAGTGCCAATCGCAGCGTCCACATTGTCCATGGCGAACGGGTGTCCCCCCGTAGGGGATACTATTGCCCACTTGGGGGAGGCGAAAGAGGCGCCAGTGTTGAGGATTGTCAGACCCTGGGTAGTTGTTAAGTCTGTGCCAGCGACTGAGTTCTCGGGCACTCGGTACGAGCCGCCTGACAGCTGCACTTCGGCAATTGCTGAAAAAAAATCATAAGTCAAACTTTGAAATTAAATCCAGCTCAGAAAACCAACAACAGACTGAATTCAGCATCAACATTTAGTATTGCCAAGATTATACCATGAGGAAAATTTTTACAATAATAAATCATAGGTAAAATTTGCGGCCGATATTTTTTCTTTAGCTCAGCCAATTTCATTTACCATTAGTTCCCATAAGACACTACTTTTCTGCTTCGCTGGGACAAATGTTTGAAAAAAAAACGCAAAATAAAAACATTTTCAAAATCATTTTAACATTTGTTTTCGACAACGCTCTTTACCCTCAAATAAGATTTATATTAGCCCGAAGCCACTTTCAGATCAATTTCATTTTCCCGCAGTGATTTTTTTTCTTCAGAAATTCGTAAATAACTATCAAGAACCGATTAATGCAAAAATTGCCTTCCTTGCCTAAATCTTGGGATGTTTTAGACAAAAATAAAAGTGTTCGCTTACTTGACGCAAAAGGAATCCGTAGCAAAGAATAAATAGTTATAAATAATAGTAGTAAAATCTCCATTGGAGCTTCAAAATTATAAATTAATACTTTATCAATTATGAAATACAATTAAAATCTCTATTGTAGTTTCAAAAATTTAAATAATACTTAATAAATTATGAAACAGAAAAAACGTGTGTAGATCTACTGACTGTAAATAATTGTGATAACATGTTAATATATTTTTAGCCAAAGTCAAATCAAATTTTCACAACGTTACTTATGTTTGTGTTTGTTAGTTGTACCAATCGAGAAAATGGAATTTAAAACAACACGTTTTCACATCAAGTTTTCAAAAACACTTTCATCAATATCTTGCTGACGTTCAAAACAATAAAAAAATCAAAAACATGAAACTGAGACAATTATATGCGTCGGAAAAGATGTTAAGGCTAATCAAGTTTGAATGTAAGAGTGTAAAAAAGTAGTTTTATGATATTAGTTGACCGATATCATTCATATCTATCACATTCTCTGTTGGAATCGTACAAATATGAACAGAGATAAAATACAGCAACAAGACTTTTTTGGCATTTATCTGCTTTTCAAAAAAAAACTTCATCAAAAGAACAAGGTAAGGTATTGACGTAGGGTGCCGGACATCAAGCCGACGGGACTTCAGGCCGAATTGTAAAATTAGGGATTTCAAGCCAAAATTTTTCTCATCAAGTCATGAAATATGATTAATTTGAAAAAATTTTTGAAAAATTATTCAATTTCATGATCTTTCTTCAGTAGTTATTGACGTTTTCATGAAATTTAAGCCTCCAAATGATGTTAACGAATGTTGAAAAATAAAACACGGTTGAAGGCAATTATCTTTTTTATAATTTATGCATTTCAAAAACCGGCTGATATTATTAATGGATGCCAATCCTAAGTAATTTATTGACATGAATAGCGCTTCTTCTGGTCTGAGCTTGCCCAAAAAATTTTGAAAAGCAACGTTTTACAGATAAAAAATAGTGATTTGAGGTGTATGCAAAGTTTAAAATTCGCCCTGAAGTCCCTTCGGCTTGAAGTCCCGTCGGCTTGAAGTCCCGTCGGCTTGTTGTCCTAGACCCATTGACCTAGTCACTGAAGTCCCGGGTTGACTAAAAATGCTTATCATACATTTTTCATATATGAAAAAAATGCTTTTCATACTCTTTCATACAATTTCATAGGGGAAAAGTATATGTATAAAAATAGCAAAATAAGCACTTTTTCTATAAATAAAAATGTATGACAAGCGTTTTTTTCATACTGTGAAACTGTATGACAAGCATTTTTTCCATAAACGAAAATACAAAACATTTTTGTTTCGAAATTTTGTCTTTCAACCAAAACACTAACTAAGGTTTTTTGTCATAAGAAAACCCAGATTGTAACTGACAGTTATCACGCAGCTAAACTGCATTTGGTGCTTTTAGTCATAAAAGTTAATTTTAACAATTTCACATGGAAATATATACCAATAAAGTAACTTTTCGAATATGGCTAAATATTTTTCAGTTTGAAAATTTTGATGGTTGAGAAATAAGGCCTGTTTTTTTATAAATTTATTTTTATTTTAGCAAATGGAACAAAAGATAATAATCATGTTTGCAAAATTTTCTTGTGATTTTTGGATTTTTTGGGTGAGAAACTCATCCTGGATTACGTTATAAACACAAAAAAGTCAAATTTTGCAGGAAAAATTTTTTTTTCGTAAAATTTATATTTTAGCTCAAAAGCAAGTTTGCAGCCAAAAAAAGGATTAAAAATTTTTTACCTAAAATTTTTTTTGTTTATGAAAAAAAGGCATATCATACAAAACTTTGAATTATCATGAAAACTTTATAATAAGCACTTTTCTGACCGAAGTTAAAATTATGTTTTTGATTGTGAAAATGCCCTCTATCATAGATATACTTTTTAAAATCTATTTAAAGTTACCCAGACACGTTTTTTGGTGATTTTTGAAAATGTTTTTTTTTCTAAGACAAAATGACTGTTTTTAAATTTTCATACATGAAAATTGTGTGATAAGCATTTTTTATTAAAAATTTTAATCATTTTTTTAATGATCGGAAAGCTTCAAAAGAGGCAATTAGACCAAAAGTGTTCATTAAAAACTTTAAAACACATTTTAAATTTTGTATGAATTTCCTATGACAAGCATTTTTTCCATAGACTTCATATATGAAACAGTATGATAAGCATTTTTCTTCTATGGACGTCAACCCGGGCTCTTTGAGTCTTTGTCCATGCATAAATAGGATCGCAAATTAAATGCAGAAAAAAAATAAACACTTAACATTTGAAAGAAAAATTAAAAACCATCAAAAAATGTATAAACCAATGAGGCCCGCATTTAAGCTCGCAAAAAGTAAATTAAGTTTTCTCAAGACTTCAAAATTCAAATGCGAGACTCAATGTCTTATAGTTTTGATGGTTTTATTTTTTCCAAATCTCATAAATCGTTTTAAAATTTTTTTCTGCATAAAAATTGCAAATTTTTGACCGATCAGAATGTGCCAAATAAATAGAACGCTGAAGTGCTAATTTACTGCTTTTATTCACAGGGGTAGCAATTCCTTAGTAGATACCAAAAGGGGGGTGATTGTTAAGTAGATCCAGAACTACTAACCGCAATCTTCGGCAACTATAGTGATACCATCGGCGTAGGCATTGAGGTCTGATCTGAACCTGACCACGGCTGCTCCTGGCCCCCCATTGAATCCGGCTCCGGCGGGGAAGGGGTTGGTAGCGCCACAGTAAGGCCCATTGGTAACGCCTCCAACCTCTATTTCCACGTAATCTCTACACACAAATGGACACCCGTACTGACAAGAAATGGACAGTCAATTTTATACAGATAATGTGACAGAGAACTAAAAAATTGATTTGAATTTATTTAAAATTGATTTAGCTTCATACAAAAATGTGGCCTAAATATCAGTTTAAACCCATGCTAAAATCGATTTAAATCCTTTTTTTGCGATTTTTTTTGGTTTTTTTTCCCTACGGATTTAAGTAACAATAAAATCGATTTAAATCAATATTAATTTTTTTTTGCTTATTCAGCGAATCATATATTTTTAAAATCATCTCGCAAAAAACATATATATATAAATTTTTAAGTTGACTTGACTTGATAGTACTAAGAAGTATACACTGGTTCTACAATTAATGGGCTTGGCTTGGTATTTGGTTGTGCAAACTGATTCTAACCTTTCGTTTCAAACTCAATTTCAAAAAGTTTCTGAAAACCTTGCATCGTCGTATTTTATGTCTTTTTGTGTGAAGAGATAAGTTGATAGGCGATTACACATTAAATATCAAGACCATTGTGTAATATAGTTTTTGTGTTCTGGCTACAAAAATCTTCGCCCTATTTTCATTATGGATTCACTTCATCCAAATGTGGATCCATAAAAAATAATCATACATTAACTGAGTTGGTACCAACATGTACCAAAAGTTAAGGTACCAACATATGGGCAGTTCAGCTCAGGTTGTCGAACAGCTTTTGTCCATTAATTATAAAAAAAATCAATTATTTTATTTGTAAAATGGGCTTCGAAAGGGATGGAGCGTGGATGTATCAAACTGAACTAAAGCAATTTCACCTTCGCCTCCCAAATAGATACAATCAGGGTGGGGTGCAACGTGAACTTGAACTTGAATTCATTTAGGTGGATATATGAAAATTTGTTTAAAAAAATATACAACTTAATTTACATTTCAATGACACCAAGGGCATACAAAAAGCTGTTCAGCCATTTGCTGCCTATTGTGCCGCACTCTCGTGTATCCTGTAAGACCTACAAAAACCTGCTTCAATATCTGTAAATTATCGGCAATTCAACAGATAATATAAAGAATAAGTAATATCGGTTAAACATTTTTCGGTTAACATTTTTTGCAATACGGTTTTCAACAATCTCAAAAATCTAAAAACATTTTGATGGCAAACTGACCTTAATCAGACAAACTAGTAATTTTCAAAGCCTTTTGTCTAAGCAAATCTAATTTTAGCTTTTTCACTTTCGCGCTATAATGACGTCATTAATTTAAGATTGATTTAAGCGCGAACATCTTCCGCGCCCAAAGGAGCGAAAACGGGTGCGAGTTTTACGGCCGGTCGAGTTAGCTCCCCGGAGCGGGTGGTAACTACGGCGGATCGGGCTATGTTGTCTTTTCCGTAATTAAGGGTTTTTATACGAGCCAGAGGGTAATGTCCCTTTGGGCTGCGTTCGTCAACAATCCACACTAAATCCCCTTTTTTTAAAATAACGTCACTATCGGAGTGCCACTTACTGCGTTTATTCAGCGCTGGCACATAATCTCGCAGCCAACGACTCCAAATTGCGTTGGCGTAGCTTTGCGCTCGGATATATTGCTTTCGATGGTCGAAGTGCTCCTAGAAAGAGAGAGAAGGGAAGCTAGTACCATTTCGGCCTAACAAAAAATGATTAGGAGTTAACACCTCGAAACCATCCGGACTTGCACTTACTGATGTTATAGGTCGAGCGTTCAGTGATTGTGCTACAAGACAGAAAGTTGTTTCAAGGACTTCGGGAGTGAGCTTTCTACTTCCTATTATTGCGTAGAATACCCTTTTACAACACCGAACGGGACGTTCCCAAGAAACACCGTGATGCGGGGCTGCCGGGGGTTAAATTTCCACTTAATACCCTTTTTCGCCAGCTCTGGGGGTGCTTGTCCGTTCCACGACTGAATACAATTTAAGAGTTCTTTCTCGGCTTCCACAAAATTGGTGCCGTTATCAGACCAAATGACTGATGGAGTGCCGCGACGGGCAATGAATCTTTCGATTCCCAGTACACACGAACTCGTGTCCATGGATGAGACAATCTCAATATGTACAGCTCTGGTGGTCATACATGTAAAAAGGAAGCACCATCGCTTTTCAGAACTCCTCCTGATTGAGAAGTAAAAGGGTCCAAAATAATCAACACCTCAGTTTGTGAAGGGAGGCTGGCGGTAACCAAGCTTTTCAACTGGAAGCTCTGCCATCATAGGTGTGACAGTTTTGGCTTTGCGCTTCCTACATATGAGGCAGTGGACTTCAATGGACTTTAATAAAGAGCTAAGGTTCAAGATTGCAAACTCTAAGTGAATTACAGCTCGCAGGTAGTCTAAGAACTGGTGCTGATAGCGATAATGAATATCACTTACGAACAATTTCACCAGAGAATGCCTTCCATCAAGTATTATGGGGTGTTTTGTGTCATATTCAGTTTCAACTAGGCGGCGAATTTGCCCAGTTGAACGAATTAGGAATGCAGGACCTATAAACGGTGCATATTGTGCGATACGACTAGACTTTTTGACGGTTTTGTCGCAGGACAGGAGTAAATATTCCGCTTCAAAAGATTCTTTTTGGGAAATCAACAAAAGTCGTTGTTTGGCGGTTTCTAATTCAACCGAATCGGTTACTTCCTTGACTTTAGTGCGGTAGTGCCGGTGTTTCGGACTAAGTCTGAGCATGAAGGCAACCACTCGCTGGAGTTTACGAAACGAGCTGAATTCTTCCCATGCAAATAAACAGGGTTGTTTTTGTTTTTGTGTAACGTTTAAAAAATTAGAGGCCTGCTGTAAACCTTCATTAGGGTCACAAGCGGGACCAGCCAGGCGGACTTTCTGAAGTATTTCTACGCTCGGCTTGAAAGGCCACTCGCCACTTTTTAGCAGACTTGGCCCGTTCACCCAGCTGCTTGTTTTTAAGGACTCCGCTGAGATTCCTCTGGTTCCCGTATCAGCAGGGTTGTCTCCACTTAAGACGTGAAACCACTGGTCTACGGTAGTTTTTTCCAGAATCTCTCCAATCCGGTTTGCCACGAACGTGGGTTGCTTACTACCTGAGTTTAACCACTGGAGCACAGTGGTGCTGTCAGTCCACATGAACGTGCTTGACACAGGAATGGTTAGAACTTTGAGGACATCTTCCTTCAAGCGGGTAGCGAGTAATGCGGCCTGCAGTTCAAGCTTTGGGATGGAAAGCGCTTTCATGGGCGCGACTCTTGCTTTTCCAAAGACGAAGGCAACTTGTGTTTCGAGTGAAGTTTTCACACGGGCGCGAAGAAAAGCTACAGCACAAAAAAACTTCTTCTGAGCTGTCACCGAACATGTGTAACTCAACCCAATCGACTGGTGCGGAGAAGTAGCTGCGCTTTATACTCATTTTCCCTAGAGATGGCAAACCAGAGTGCCAGGCAAGAAATTTTGTCTTGATATCAAAGGGTAGCTCATCATCCCATTGTTGGCCATGAATGCGCCAGATTTCTTTCAACAATAATCGCGCTCTTACGGTATAGGGCGCTACGAGACCTATGGGGTCGAAAACGGAAGAAACAGAACTTAACACTGTTCGCTGTGTTATCGAATTTTTAAGTTCACGGTTGACACCACGGCTTACGACCAAAGTGTCGTCGATATGGTCCCACTTCAGACCAAGAACATGAGAAGAATTATCCCCACAAGTTACAATATTTTTACTTTCCTGTTGCGGCGCGCTTTGGGGTGGGTTTAACTCTTTATTAATTTTAGTTACGTTACTTATGAAATTAGTTAATTTAAAACCACCTAGAGCTAACAGAGTAATCAACTCTTGACTCGTTTTAAATGCAACATCAGGGTCCTCAAAGGAGTCTAGGTAGTCGTCCATATAAAATTTCTCTAGAACTGCGGACGCTGCGTCAGGGAACATTGCCTGATTATCCATTGCAGTCCGTTGCAATGCATAAGTTGCACACGTTGGCGAATCTCTCGCTCCAAAGATATGTCTCGTGTACTGGTGTACAACCACATCGGCTGTGGGGTCTTCCCGCCACAGAAAACGAAGAGATGGTTGGTCCTCTGGAAGGACGCCGACTTGTAGGAACATCCCTTCAATGTCAGCCGATACGGCAAAATGATGTTGACGAAAACGGAGGAGAACGAACACAAGGTTTTTCAGTAGGTCGGGTCCTACTAGCAACGATTTGTTCAATGACGTACCGTGGAATTTAGACGCTTCGTTAAGGACACGCCTCACTTTACCAGGTTTGTTTGGGTTCACCACGGAATGGTGAGGAAGATACCACTCGCGTATGCTGCGGTTCGAAAAATTATGGGGAGGAATTTGAATCACGTATCCTTTACTCAAATCATCTTCGATAGTTTTTGAGTATTGATTCCTTAAGTGAGGATCTTTCGCTAAACGTTTTTCGAACGATTTTAACTGAACCAAAGAGGAATAGTAATTGTCTGGTAACATGATAGATTCTTCTGCCCAAAGCATACCTACAGCGTATCTTGATCCATCAATCGCAACAATTGACTTCAACAATTGACTCCAGCAACAATTGACTTCGAACCATAAGCTGTTTACATGAAAAAATCGGAAAATCCGCCTAATTGCTTGAAATCCGACAAATTCAAAAACGAAAACTAACAAAGCATTGAAATCCACGTGCAGCCAAATATTTTGGGCTTTTTTCCAGCTTCCCTCCTCCCTCGTAAAATTACCAAAAAAGCTGATGAAAAATTGTTCACACGGCATTTTGCATGTCAGAAATGTTGTCAAAAATTGTTCACCAGTTCACGCTGACACGTTATATTGCAGATTATAATATGAAAAGTCATTTCAAATAGACTTTGATCTATTGAATTTCAGAAAATATCATAGGGGGAACCGGAAAGAGCCAAAATTTGAACTTTCAAATTCTAGAAAGAGTAAAAATTATCGTCTAATATAGAAACCAATAGAGTGACCAATCTACACCGTATGTTGTCTACATGGGGATTTTAGTTTACATACTTTATTTTTTCCCCCAACTGCACAATCCCGTTTTAGTGTCGTTGATTTGGAGGTCGAAAGTTGTGAAGGAGATGCAGACGTTGTTTGTGAATGAAAAAGTGAGATCGCAATTAAGCCACGCCCCGTATCCAGGGTCTGTTGGGCCAATGTTCACTGTGTATTTGAAGGTTGACTCGGCTGCTCCGTCGTAGAGAGTCTTCACTGGACAGTCTGCCAGACCAGCTAAACGAAAGAAAAGTTCTGAAAGTGTCTCAATAAAGCAGCAAAAATTTTTAAAAAACCTCTCAGAAATGAAGCATAAAATAACGAAATGTCTCAAAAGTTTGGCCAAATAATAACACAATGTCTTGAACATGAAGCAAAAAAAATGCCAACTTTCTCAAAAAGAAAAGGAAAAGTAATAAAATGTCTCATTTATGGAAAACAACAAGTAAAAATGTCTAAAAAATGCAAAAAAAATAACAAAATTTCTAGTTCACATTATGAGAAAGACGTCCGATAACTAAAACAACATCAAAACGGGTAGCTAAAAAATCAAAATTTACAAACAGTTCAAATTTTTCCTCACCCCTGCGATTTTTTAAATGCAAAAATTGTGAAAATTAGTTTTGCCCTGTACTGAAAAAATAGAAGTAGCAAATGGTCAAACTGTCATCTCCATTTACCTGGGTTATTGCAGTCAGCTTCATCAGAATTGTCGCCACAATCATCAGTTTCATCACACAATTTATCATAAGTGACACATTTTGAGTCATCATAGCAGGCGAAGTCAGTCTTGGATCCACACCCGGCTACCCTGTGAGGGAAAATTAAAAACAATAATTTGTAAACCATGACAAAAATCATAAAAATAATTGTAATAATTACCGGCATTTAAAATCGAATAAAAAAAGGGAAAAATTTACAGAGCGTCAGAGCCCCCAGAAAAAAAGTTTTACCGGATTTTGATGACATACATTGTCAAAAGAACCATTGGTTTTGATAATTTTCTTTGGTATCATTTGAAAACCCTGGCAAAAATGATGCCACGCGTGTCCAAAAATGAAAAAGGATGGTTTTTTTTAAAAATGTCCTTTTTACAAGCATTCCAGAGGAGCTGTACGCATATACAGTGCTTATTTAAATGATCCGGAAGAAACGAACAAAACTTGAATTTTCAAAAGCGTTTTTCTCAAATTGGGTTGGGATTAGACAAAAAATGAACAAAAAAAAGTTGCTTAGAACGCTGAAGTGCTAATTAACTGCTTTTTTTCACAGGGTGAGCAATTCCTTAGTAGATACCAAAATGGGGGTGATTGTTACGTAGATCCAGAGCTACTTACCGCAATCTTCGGCAACTATAGTGATACCATCGGCGTAGGCATTGAGGTCTGATCTGAACCTGACCACGGCTGCTCCCGGCCCCCCATTGAATCCGGCTCCGGCGGGGAAGGGGTTGGTAGCGCCACAGTAAGGCCCATTGGTAACTCCTCCAACCTCTATTTCCACGTAATCTCTACACACAAATGGACACCCGTACTGACAAGAAATGGACAGTCAATTTTATACAGATAATGTGACAGAGAACTAAAAAATTGATTTGAATTTATTTAAAATTGATTTAGCTTCATACAAAAATGTGGCCTAAATATCAGTTTAAACCCATGCTAAAATCGATTTAAATCCTTTTTTTGCGATTTTTTTTGGTTTTTTTTCCCTACGGATTTAAGTAACAATAAAATCGATTTAAATCAATATTAATTTTTTTTTGCTTATTCAGCGAATCATATATTTTAAAATCATCTCGCAAAAAACATATATATATAAATTTTTAAGTTGACTTGACTTGATAGTACTAAGAAGTATACACTGGTTCTACAATTAATGGGCTTGGCTTGGTATTTGGTTGTGCAAACTGATTCTAACCTTTCGTTTCAAACTCAATTTCAAAAAGTTTCTGAAAACCTTGCATCGTCGTATTTTATGTCTTTTTGTGTGAAGAGATAAGTTGATAGGCGATTACACATTAAATATCAAGACCATTGTGTAATATAGTTTTTGTGTTCTGGCTACAAAAATCTTCGCCCTATTTTCATTATGGATTCACTTCATCCAAATGTGGATCCATAAAAAATAATCATACATTAACTGAGTTGGTACCAACATGTACCAAAAGTTAAGGTACCAACATATGGGCAGTTCAGCTCAGGTTGTCGAACAGCTTTTGTCCATTAATTATTAAAAAAATCAATTATTTTATTTGTAAAATGGGCTTCGAAAGGGATGGAGCGTGGATGTATCAAACTGAACTAAAGCAATTTCACCTTCGCCTCCCAAATAGATACAATCAGGGTGGGGTGCAACGTGAACTTGAACTTGAATTCATTTAGGTGGATATATGAAAATTTGTTTAAAAAAATATACAACTTAATTTACATTTCAATGACACCAAGGGCATACAAAAAGCTGTTCAGCCATTTGCTGCCTATTGTGCCGCACTCTCGTGTATCCTGTAAGACCTACATAAACCTGCTTCAATATCTGTAAATTATCGGCAATTCAACAGATAATATAAAGAATAAGTAATATCGGTTAAACATTTTTCGGTTAACATTTTTTGCAATACGGTTTTCAACAATCTCAAAAATCTATAAACATTTTGATGGCAAACTGACCTTAATCGGACAAACTAGTAATTTTCAAAGCCTTTTGTCTAAGCAAATCTAATTTTAGCTTTTTCATTTTCGCGCTATAATGACGTCATTAATTTAAGATTGATTTAAGCGCGAACATCTTCCGCGCCCAAAGGAAGGAAAACGGGTGCGAGTTTTACGGCCGGTCGAGTTAGCTCCCCGGAGCGGGTGGTAACTACGGCGGATTGGGCTATGTTGTCTTTTCCGTTATTAAGGGTTTTTATACGAGCCAGAGGGTAGTGTCCCTTTGGGCTGCGTTCGTCAACAATCCACACTAAATCCCCTTTTTTTTAAAATAACGTCACTATCGGAGTGCCACTTACTGCGTTTAATCAGCGCTGGCACATAATCTCGCAGCCAACGACTCCAAATTGCGTTGGCGTAGCTTTGCGCTCGGATATATTGCTTTCGATGGTCGAAGTGCTCCTAGAAAGAGAGAGAAGGGAAGCTAGTACCATTTCGGCCTAACAAAAAATGATTAGGAGTTAACACCTCGAAACCATCCGGACTTGCACTTACTGATGTTATAGGTCGAGCGTTCAGTGATTGTGCTACAAGACAGAAAGTTGTTTCAAGGACTTCGGGAGTGAGCTTTCTACTTCCTATTATTGCGTAGAATACCCTTTTACAACACCGAACGAGACGTTCCCAAGAAACACCGTGATGCGGGGCTGCCGGGGGTTAAATTTCCACTTAATACCCTTTTTCGCCAGCTCTGGGGGTGCTTGTCCGTTCCACGACTGAATACAATTTAAGAGTTCTTTCTCGGCTTCCACAAAATTGGTGCCGTTATCAGACCAAATGACTGATGGAGTGCCGCGACGGGCAATGAATCTTTCGATTCCCAGTACACACGAACTCGTGTCCATGGATGAGACAATCTCAATATGTACAGCTCTGGTGGTCATACATGTAAAAAGGAAGCACCATCGCTTTTCAGAACTCCTCCTGATTGAGAAGTAAAAGGGTCCAAAATAATCAACACCACAGTTTGTGAAGGGAGGCTGGCGGTAACCAAGCCTTTCAACTGGAAGCTCTGCCATCATAGGTGTGACAGTTTTGGCTTTGCGCTTCCTACATATGAGGCAGTGGACTTCAATGGACTTTAATAAAGAGCTAAGGTTCAAGATTGCGAACTCTAAGTGAATTACAGCTCGCAGGTAGTCTAAGAACTGGTGCTGATAGCGATAATGAATATCACTTACGAACAATTTCACCAGAGAATGCCTTCCATCAAGTATTATGGGGTGTTTTGTGTCATAATCAGTTTCAACTAGGCGGCGAATTTGCCCAGTTGAACGAATTAGGAATGCAGGACCCATAAACGGTGCATATTGTGCGATACGACTAGACTTTTTGACGGTTTTGTCGCAGGACAGGAGTAAATATTCCGCTTCAAAAGATTCTTTTTGGGAAATCAACAAAAGTCGTTGTTTGGCGGTTTCTAATTCAACCGGATCGGTTACTTCCTTGACTTTAGTGCGGTAGTGCCGGTGTTTCGGACTAAGTCTGAGCATGAAGGCAACCACTCGCTGGAGTTTACGAAACGAGCTGAATTCTTCCCATGCAAATAAACAGGGTTGTTTTTGTTTTTGTGTAACGTTTAAAAAATTAGAGGCCTGCTGTAAACCTTCATTAGGGTCACAAGCGGGACCAGCCAGGCGGATTTTCTGAAGTATTTCTACGCTCGGCTTCAAAGGCCACTCGCCACTTTTTAGCAGACTTGGCCCGTTCACCCATCTGCTTGTTTTTAAGGACTCCGCTGAGATTCCTCTGGTTCCCGTATCAGCAGGGTTGTCTCCACTTAAGACGTGAAACCACTGGTCTACGGTCGTACTTTCCAGAATCTCTCCAATCCGGTTTGCCACGAACGTGGGTTGCTTACTACCTGAGTTTAACCACTGGAGCACAGTGGTGCTGTCAGTCCACATGAACGTGTTTGACACAGGAATGGTTAGAACTTTGAGGACATCTTCCTTCAAGCGGGTAGCGAGTAATGCGGCCTGCAGTTCAAGCTTTGGGATGGAAAGCGCTTTCATGGGCGCGACTCTTGCTTTTCCAAAGACGAAGGCAACTTGTGTTTCGAGTGAAGTTTTCACACGGGCGCGAAGAAAAGCTACAGCACAAAAAAACTTCTTCTGAGCTGTCACCGAACATGTGTAACTCAACCCAATCGACTGGTGCGGAGAAGTAGCTGCGCTTTATACTCATTTTCCCTAGAGATGGCAAACCAGAGTGCCAGGCAAGAAATTTTGTCTTGATATCAAAGGGTAGCTCATCATCCCATTGTTGGCCATGAATGCGCCAGATTTCTTTCCACAATAATCGCGCTCTTACGGTATAGGGCGCTACGAGACCTATGGGGTCGAAAACGGAAGAAACAGAACTTAACACTGTTCGCTGTGTTATCGAATTTTTAAGTTCACGGTTGACACCACGGCTTACGACCAAAGTGTCGTCGATATGGTCCCACTTCAGACCAAGAACATGAGAAGAATTATCCCCACAAGTTACAATATTTTTACTTTCCTGTTGCGGCGCGCTTTGGGGTGGGTTTAACTCTTTATTAATTTTAGTTACGTTACTTATGAAATTAGTTAATTTAAAACCACCTAGAGCTAACAGAGTAATCAACTCTTGACTCGTTTTAAATGCAACATCAGGGTCCTCAAAGGAGTCTAGGTAGTCGTCCATATAAAATTTCTCTAGAACTGCGGACGCTGCGTCAGGGAACATTGCCTGATTATCCATTGCAGTCCGTTGCAATGCATAAGTTGCACACGTTGGCGAATCTCTCGCTCCAAAGATATGTCTCGTGTACTGGTGTACAACCACATCGGCTGTGGGGTCTTCCCGCCACAGAAAACGAAGAGATGGTTGGTCCTCTGGAAGGACGCCGACTTGTAGGAACATCCCTTCAATGTCAGCCGATACGGCAAAATGATGTTGACGAAAACGGAGGAGAACGAACACAAGGTTTTTCAGTAGGTCGGGTCCTACTAGCAACGATTTGTTCAATGACGTACCGTGGAATTTAGACGCTTCGTTAAGGACACGCCTCACTTTACCAGGTTTGTTTGGGTTCACCACGGAATGGTGAGGAAGATACCACTCGCGTATGCTGCGGTTCGAAAAATTATGGGGAGGAATTTGAATCACGTATCCTTTACTCAAATCATCTTCGATAGTTTTTGAGTATTGATTCCTTAAGTGAGGATCTTTCGCTAAACGTTTTTCAAACGATTTTAACTGAACCAAAGAGGAATAGTAATTGTCTGGTAACATGATAGATTCTTCTGCCCAAAGCATACCTACAGCGTATCTTGATCCATCAATCGCAACAATTGACTTCAACAATTGACTCCAGCAACAATTGACTTCGAACCATAAGCTGTTTACATGAAAAAATCGGAAAATCCGCCTAATTACTTGAAATCCGACAAACTCAAAAAAGAAAACTAACAAAGCATTGAAATCCACGTGCAGCCAAATAGTTTGGGCTCTTTTCCAGCTTCCCTCCTTCCTCGTAAAATTACCAAAAAAGCTGATGAAAAATTGTTCACACGGCATTTTGCATGTCAGAAATGTTGTCAAAAATTGTTCACCAGTTCACGCTGCCACGTTATATTGCAGATTATAATATGAAAAGTCATTTCAAATAGACTTTGATCTATTGAATTTCAGAAAATATCATAGGGGGAACTGGAAAGAGCCAAAATTTGAACTTTCAAATTCTAGAAAGAGTAAAAATTATCGTCTAATATAGAAACCAATAGAGTGACCAATCTACACCGTTTGTTGTCTACATGGGGATTTTAGTTTACATACTTTATTTTTTCCCCCACCTGCACAATCCCGTTTTAGTGTCGTTGATTTGGAGGTCGAAAGTTGTGAAGGAGATGCAGACGTTGTTTGTGAATGAAAAAGTGAGATCGCAATTAAGCCACGCCCCGTATCCAGGGTCTGTTGGGCCAATGTTCACTGTGTATTTGAAGGTTGACTCGGCTGCTCCGTCGTAGAGAGTCTTCACTGGACAGTCTGCCAGACCAGCTGCACGAAAGAAAAGTACAAAAGTACTGAAAGTGTCGCAATAATTGAGCAAAATTGAAAAATGTTCGCAATTGAAGCATAAAATAAAAAAATGTTTCAAAAGTTAGACCAAATAATAACACAATGTCTTAAACATGAAGCAAAAAAAATACCAACTTTCTCAAAAAGAAAATGAAAAGTAATAAAATGTCTCGATTATGGAAAACAACAACTAAAAAGGTCTAAAAAATGCAAAAAAAAAACCAAAATTTCAAGTTCACATTATGAGAAAGACGTCCGATAACTAAAACAACATCAAAACGGGTAGCTAAAAAATCAAAATTTACAAACATTTCAAGTTTTTCCTCACCCCTGCGATTTTTTTAAATGCAAAATTTGTGAAAATTAGTTTTACCCTGTACTGAAAAAATAGAACTAGCAAATTATCAAGCTGTCATCTCCATTTACCTGGGTTATTGCAGTCAGCTTCATCAGAATTGTCGCCACAATCATCAGTTCCATCACACAATTTATCATAAGTGACACATTTTGAGTCATCATAGCAGGCGAAGTCAGTCTTGGATCCACACCCGGCTACCCTGTGAGGGAAAATTAAAAACGATAATTTGTAAACCATAAAAAAAATCATAATAATAATTGAATAATTACCGACATTTAAAATCGAATAAAAAAGGGAAAAGTTTACTGAGCGTCAGAGCCCCCAGAAAAAAAGTTTTACCGGATTTTGATGACATACATTGTCAAAAGAACCATTGGTTTTGATAATTTTCTTTGTTATCATTTGAAAACCCTGGCAAAAATAATGCCACGCGTGTCCAAAAATGGTGGTTTTTTAAAAAATGCCCTTTTTACAAACATTCCAGAGGAGCTGTACGCATATACAGTGCTGATTTAAATGATCCGGAAGAAACGAACAAAACTTAAATTTTCAAACGCGTTTTTCTCAAATTGGGTTAAGATTAGACAAAAATGAACAGAAAAAATTTCCTTAGAATTTCATCAGAATTTTCATGGCGCAATTTTTCCTCCAAAACTCTCAACCAAAATGTCACCCTAAAATGGGTCATTTTGGCTTTTTTTAAATAATCAAGAGTTACGCTGAAACTACTTTGTTAATAAATCAGAAAATTACTTCTCAAGAAGCATCTTATACAGTCCAACAATTCTTTAGAAGGGTTAAAGCACAAAAATCTGTATAAGCCAAAATATTTCTGCTTGATAGTCAAGAAATGTGACTTTACCATACAAAACCCAAAATCTTTGCTGAAAAACAAACTCTAAAAAATTTGCGAAAATTTTGTAGATTTAAAAAATTTCTGGAATTTTGTTGGGATGTGTAAAAGGCTTCTTGTGATAAAGTTTTCCATTAGCATAGTGGTTTCAGCGTAACTCTCTATTAGTTAAAAAAGCCAAAATGACCCCTTTTTGGGTTGAAACTTTGGTTGATAATTTCGGAGAAAAAATGAACCATATTAATTCGGGTGAAACTCTAAGCAACTTTTGTTCTCTTCACTTTTTGTTTGATCGTAACCCAACTTAGACAAACGCGTTTGAAATTTCATCTTTTGTTCGTTTTGTCCGTTTAATTTAAATCAGCACTGCACCAACTTAACTTCATTCTTCGACAAGTGACTAATGCAACATGTAGTCTAGTCTGTATTACTTTAACACGTTTTTTTGTGTCCAAACTAAATTGCGTTCAGTTGAGAGTCTACTTGAAAGAGCAAAAAGTTCATTTCATTTTACGATTCATTCATGCGGTCTTTCTTGAGATTAAAAAATGCACGGCGCTGTGTTCTAACAATTTTAAGGATTTTTTCATGAGTCATTTGTTCCTAATTTATCATACAGGTCAGAATCATCCTTTAAAATGACAATTGAGTGAAGAAACTGAATATATCATAAAACCAATGGCCATTAAAAGCACAGTAGAAATCACTGTGAGTAGCTTGTATTTCTTATCAAAGGTTAAGATTGGAAACTTTCTCAAAAGAACATATGTTGTTGTGTTAACTTGTTAACTTGTGAACAGACTTGTTATGTTAACCAAAAAAATCAAAACAATACGTTTTCGATCATTTTTTCTCATTTCTTTTGATACATCAAAAATATTTGCTGTTGCAAAATAAAAATAAAGGTCGAATGGTAGATTTAGAATGAAAAGATTGGAAAAAAACAAAAGATCAGAAAGAATAAATTCGAAGACATGATTTAAAAAGATAACTTCGCCTTTTTTTCAGTCCAATTTTTGCAGCATCACTTCAAACTTCTTTAGAATGTGTTAAATTTGTAGACACTTTTTTAATCCAAAAAATTTTCCTTGATTTTTGTTAATTACTCGTCAGATTTGTTATTATGGCGCATGCACAAATTTTTTTTTCAAATAATTTTGGTGAACAGGTTAGCACGTTCAGTTTAAACACCAAATTGCAAAAATTAGATCATGAAACATAGCTTAATTTTGATTTTTTTTGATACCAACATTTTGATATTGAGAAAGATCCGTTATTTGATATTAACGAAAAGAATGAAAACATATACAGAGTGTAGAAGCCACTCGAAAAGAAGACTCTACCAGGCGTTAAAGAAATGATCTTGACTCATGATTCGACGGAGAGATCGAACGACGTTCGTTTTTGACTTTTTGAGTCAAACTGTGTTCGTTTTCGACTTTGCTTAATTTTACTGAAGACTTTATTCGACTTTGTTTGATTTTACCGGGCGATGTTTGATTTTGTTTGACTTAGTTAGACTTTACCAGAGATTTTTTGATCTTGTTCGACTTTTTTGAGGTTTTGGTGTCGACCTTGATTGACTTTCTTTGAGCTAATTTTTTCGAGTTCGCCGGACTTTTTTGACTTTTTTGGACTAAAGAAGAAAACATTCGACTTTGTTCGACAATAATCCGTGATATTCGATCTGCGTTGGTAATTTTGTGGAGGTCCTGTAGATGATCGGAATGTTTGTTGGTTTAGCAAGTTGCACATTAAAAACACATATACTGGATTATTATGCTACTTGCATCTGTATTACGAGCAAAAAAAGTACGACAAAAGTTCAATTTGCCCATGATTCAACTCCGTTCGACCCATGATTCAATTCGGTTCGACCCATTAAGTTGAGTTAAGACCCTTTATGCGCGAGGGAAAGGACCAATATACGAGCTGAGCTGTACAGCTCATCACGGAGAACCGCTGTTGTCCCCCTTCTTAATAACTACATGTATTTTTTTTGGTTATTTTTCTGGGCTGGGTATTTCTGAGCCCTCAAGCAACTAGTACGGATCATGGTGGGCCTCGAACATCCGACCTTTCGATTGAAAAGTGGAGACGTAACCACTTCACCACCGCTCCCCATGATTCGACATCTTTCAACACATGATTCAACCCTGTCCCACCCATCAAATGTATTATAGTATTCATTTATAGTATTATAGTATTCATTGTCCATCATATTATATGATCATATCTGTCCGTCAAATGTGTCAATCAAATGTACATCATACATGCCCTTACCTGCCGAGACAGTTGAGCTCGTCGTCATAGGAGGGACAGTCCGTTTTCCCATCGCAAGTCTCGCTGTCTTTGATGCAAGAACCGTCCCAACATTGGAACTCATTGTCATTCCCAGTGCAAGTATCTAAATACAAAGATTCAATTTATGAAATTTTAACTTATATTATAAGATTGTGCATAAAATTGAAAAAAGTCAAATGTTTGGAAATCATTTTCAGCCAACGAATCCGAACGAAACCATTGTCAGGAGGCGACCTTCGGTACCTCATTATATTCTATTTACTTATGTATTGTCTTATCTAACTATATCTTATTTATTTACTTATAGTGCAGTAAATGGATTCAAGGACAAATCTCACCAGCCAATTCGTTTGTCACTTGAGATTCGGAAGCGGTCATTTGCGAAAACCTTAAGTGTGAATTCAAGTCATAAACATTATACCTTAAAACTATACATTCAATTCTGGATTCGATAATCATTTATTCGTTACTTTATTCTATCTATATATCTATCTTATCTAATTCAATATCTGAATTTTATAACATCTTTTTCCCTACTCAAACTGAGGGAAATCTCATGGCGCAGCCAGCAGTTCCTGTGAATGAAGACAGGACTGACCTACTCGGAATACCACCATTTTGGGCAAGAACATCGGTTAACCCACCTTTCACTTGGGAGACGTGGGTGGGACAATTTTTTTGGCGGTGAGTCTCAAAGACAACATCTCACCGGGGGAGTTACTAGTTTGCCCCAGCAGAGTTAGTGGATGAACCTTACCCAAAGCCCGAAGCACCGAGTGCTGATGAAAATGCCGCAGAGTTGGCCAATAGGAACCTCCGAATTGCAGCAGCTAGTAGAAGAATGGATGAGTACAATCAAGAGAGGAGACGAAAAGGACCTCGCATTGGAAATAACTGGTGTTACCATGAGGCAGAGGCGCGGTTGAAATCGCGACTTTTCTTCGCTCTGGGAAACGAGGGAAAAAAACGGTTTTTGGATTCCTACCCTCATTTGGAACTCAATACTAGCTCGTTCATAGATTTTCATAAGTGTTATGAGGATGTCTTCAAGGCAGAGCGTGATTACACAGTCGAAAGGATTAAGCTATACAATACTATATTCATGCAGGATAATGACTCATACTCGTCATTCTACGCCCGACTTAGCGCTCAAACTGCGTTATGTAACTGGCCGATCGATCAGGAAAGAGCAACACTGAAAGATTTGTTCATTGGCCGCATTCGCGATGTGGAAGTTCAGAGGCAACTAATCAGAGCAAAAGCTAATCTTGATGATACTCTACAACTGGCTTTGGAAAACGAGAAAGGGGCTAAAACATCAGAACAATTTCAGAAATTGCTCCCGCATAACAACGCTACTTTCAATTCTACAAACTCTATTCGAGTCAAACAGGAACCAACTTCGTCAGTACAACAATTTAAGAATCAAGGAAATAGCAGCCGGGGAGGTGGTGTATCTCGTCCTAACCAACGACAAAATCAAAATAAACCATGCTATTTTTGTGGCAACCCGTTCTCTTTGGAACATCGCCGGTCATGCCCGGCTCGAGAAGCTACTTGTAATGCTTGCAAAAAGAAGGGTCATTTTGCTAAGGTGTGTAACACTACGAGACGACGCGTTAACATGATACAAAATGACGAGATGTCTGCAGATCAAGAATGTAATCTAATTGACGTAAACGGTGACAGCGAGGCGGAATATGGGGTCATGGCAATAGATGTTGTGCAGATTAACAATGTGGAGCTTCTAAAGACAGCGGGAGGACAACCAAGGAGCCTCAGCATTCAGTTACGATCCGGTAACTCTTTTTTCTATTCCACGGTGGACACTGGAAGTCCCGTATCCTTTTTAAACAAGAAAACGGCGGATATACTCATGAAGCGGATTCCCAACATTAAATTTAAGGACATCGCGAGACATCCTTTAGACGTTACTTATGTCGATTATAACAAGAAACCAATTAAACTGTTTGGTTCTCTGGAAATCCCTATTACATCGAAGGGATGGAAAATCGATAAGGCGTGTTTCTTGGTTTCCGAAAATCGTACTCGAAACTTACTTGGTTTGAACCTCCATGAGAAGTTAGGAATTGAAACGGTGCAACGCAGACCGGCAGAAGTTAGCTACGCCGAGGAAGATGAGGAATCGGATCCGACCTCAAAATTCTGGAGGAACCACTTTGTCAACAGGTACCTTAATGTATTCAGCAGACTGGGGAGGTCCAAAAACCATAAAGTATTCACAAATTTTTAAAGACCCGTTGGTGCCCAGACAAGTTAAAGGCCGAAAAGTCCCTATACATTTGCAAGATCGGGTCACGGCTGAGATCAAAAAGTTGATTAAAGACAAGCACATTGAAAAGATAGAAAAGTGTACAACGGATCATTTCATTGCACCCATAGTCCTAACAGCAAAGAAAGATGGGTCTATAAAACTCGCACTGAATGCTAAACCTATGAATGCCCAAATCTGGCAAAACAAATATCAAATGCCTAATATGCATGAATTGATTGACTCGGTGGCTCAAATTATAACTAAAGACACACCTGGGGAGGTGTGGTTTACTTCTCTTGACCTTAAATACGCTTTCAGTCAATTACCTTTATCGGAACTAACCAGTAGTCATTGTAACTTTAGTATTTTGTGCGGAGAGGCAACAGGCACATATCGATTCAAGACTGGTTTCTACGGACTGACGGACATGCCTACGGAATTTCAGAAAGCGATGGACTGTACGTTACAAGGATTGGAGGGTGTCATATGTTACCTCGATGATATACTGGTTGTCACTAAAGGAAGAGTTGAAGACCATAATGTACTAGTCGAAAGAGTCATGAGTCGATTGGATGAAGAAGGATGGGCGTTGAAACTTAGTAAATGTGAGTTTTCAGTTAATAAACTAGTCTGGTTAGGGTACGAAATCGATGAAAACGGTTACGCTCCGAAATTATCAAAAATAGAGGCAATCAAATCCCTGTTGCCACTCAAAACTCTTAAACAGTTAAGATCGTTTATGGGTACACTCAATCATCTCCAACGCTTCATACCGGATTTGCACATATACACAGTCGCATTTAGAGCTTCGCTAAAAGCGGAGAATAAGAAATCCTTTCTGTGGGGGGAAGAGCAAACTATTGCGTTTCAAAAGATCTTAAACCTCATCGCAAACATCCCTAATTTGTTTCACTACGATGCTTCGAAAGCTTCGCGTGTTAAATGCGATGCCAGTCATAGCGGGCTGGGGGCCTGTTTGGAACAAGAAGTCGAGCCAAATGTTTGGGCTCCGATTGCGTTTGCTTCTAGATTTCTAAACTCCGCGGAAATCAAGTATAGTACGAATGAGTTAGAGCTTCTGGCTATTGTATGGTCGTGCGAACATTTCCGTACCTATTTACTTGGTACACGATTTGTTATTCTAACCGATCATAAGGCCATCATTTCCGCCCTTAATGAAACGTATGGTAAAAAATCTTATCAGTCACGACTCTCTCGCTGGGCGGACCGCCTCATTCCGTTCGATTATCAAATTGAACATATACCCGGTTCCTCTCTAGGCATCGTCGATTATTTGTCTAGATATCCGACTTTTGATGCACCGTTGCCATCGTCGCATGACAAATTATTTGTCATTAAATCTATTCAAGCTTTTCATAATGCTTTAAATTCGATTAGTACTCAGTCTAAACCTCAAATAGTGCCGGTGGGGCATATTTCACAGTATAACGAGTTCCGACCAATCAGATCGCTTGGTGAAATTGGAGGCAACATTAGCTACCTCTTAACTCATACAACAGACCAATCAACGTTCGAATCATCTGACCAATCATACTGTTGCAAACAGTTCAGTTCGTCGCCGCACGAGGGCGTCGCAAACAGTACTCAATCTGTTAACCAATCCCAAAAGGATATGCAAATTAATCATCGTTACTTCTCGCCACTAGAGGGCGTCAGTTCATGCTCTCAGTCAACCAGCCAATCATATGCTCGTATGCAAAAACGTGAGTATTTATCATCGCCGCGAGAGGTCGACGTTTCATGCTCTGGTACTCTCGACCAATCACAGCACAGTATGCAAATGAGATACGCTAAACCAAAAGTTTTGGCTCAAACTCATTGTCCCCGACCTTACAACTTAGAAATCAGTTACGATATGGATACTTCAAATAATCTCTCTCAAAATACTACTCTTAACTCTACTCTAACTAACTCTACTAATACTATTGACTTTGCAAATACTACGATCGAACAAACAAATCTCCTTAATTTTGTCGAAAACTTTTCTACAAGTTCCCCTAATTTTCGCACCTCCAGTCAAATAAGACCCAAGATGTCTACAATTCGCCCTCTGGATCGCCCGAGCCGTATTGATCAAATACGTTCCCGAAACATTGCCCGACAGAGACATTCTCGAGAACGTTTCGTGGTCACTAGAGGACAGACTACGCAAAAGGCCCTCACTCATTTTCTTGATAAGTGCCGGAGGCAGCGGTTGACAAGACGGGCCAGAAGAGGAGATGTACTTCGAATGGGGGTTAATGCTATCAACAACCACAAACCGCTAGTTACTCAGGACAAGAAGAAGGTGGTCGGACTGCCAGGACTATTTGATGTGGATCTGCTGGGAGAGCTGACAGTAGAAGACCCGTTCCTCGGACCGATGAGGACTGCAATCAGTAATAAGGATGTACAATCCTTTAACAAACTGGGGACCTACATGGCCCAATTCTGGACAAAAGCGGCGGTAGTAAACAACTGTGTACTGATAGACAACAAACTAGCCATACCCGAACAGTTACGAAGTGCTATCCTAATCCGACTTCATCGCTCGCACCCAGGCCAATCAGCCATGATGGACGCCTCGGAGTATATTTGGTGGCCATTTCTTAACCGCCAAACTGTCAACGTTTGCGAAAAATGCCCGGAGTAAACTCTATTTGGTAAGAACATCAAAACTTCTGCGACCTATAACTCAGCTAAGCCGTTACCAACTTTGTCAGCTCCAAATCAAGAATTGCAACTTGATTTCGCGGGTCCGTTAGTAGATGATAAGAAGGGGAAAATCTACATTTTAGTCGCTATAGATCGTTTTTCTAAATTTCCCTCGGTGATGTTAACTAAATCAACCAGTGCGAAAAAAATAGTCAAATTTTTGCGATCATATATTCGTAATCATGGCATACCAGAAAGCATTAGGACGGATCACGGATCTGGTTTTCATTCTGACGTCGTTAAAGAATTTTGCAAAATGAGAGGTATTAAACACATCCTCACAGCGGTGGGGGATCATCGGAGTTGTGGGCTGGTGGAGAGATCGATCCAGACCATAAAACGGAAGTTAGGAACAGAAAATTGAGATCCTAATTTTACTAATCTGAAGTCAACTTTACAACAAATTATCGACGATATTCGAAAAACTAAGCATTCTACGTTAAAAGTATCTCCGTTTCAGTTACACTTTGGGAGGAAACCTAATACTGAGTTTTCATTAGCACGTGATAATGTTGTTCATTCTCCTACTTCAGCGCAAGGACTTGAAAGGAACCTCCTAACTCCGGAGCAACGGTCAAGCCAGGATTACAGCCGCGATAGGGCTAAAGTGGTACCCAGAGGCTCGTCACACAGCCCAGAAATCCCCTTTAAGTTCAAGCCACTCTTTGGCGTGGGTGAGCGTATCGCGGATAGTCAACCGTATAGAAAAATTAGTTTTACAAGATCCTCTAAGAGTCAAAATCTTTCGGAAAGTCCTTGATCAAAATTCGGGAAAGCCTCTGTTCAAATTAGCAAAAATCAAGATTACTCGTGTTACGGATCATACTTACATTACCGACAAAGGAAAAGTTTATCGGAAAAATCACATAAGCCTAAGACATAATTTTAATCTCCCTAAGATTTCAGCTACGCCTGGCACAGTGGGAGACTCATTGAGCGAGGACTCATTGATCACTGGCCCCCAGCTCGAATTAGTGGAGGCACCGGTTTCAACGCCTCAAGGATTGGCTCCTGTGATCGCTACTTCAACCACTCCGATTGTCGATCCTTCAACTCACCCTGACTTAACATCTACTTCAGGGGCGGTAACACCACCCCAGGATCTGCCACAGACTTCAGACAAGGTCCCTCAGACTGCGACAGAGGATTCAGCAAATACTGGCAATATGGAGGTTGACAATCCTACCTCTCAATCTTCAAGCGAGTTTCGGTCATCTAATCGGTCTAAGAAACCAACGAGGTTTTACGGAGATCCTCTTCGCCATTCAGTTAAGAGTGTAACTGAATCTGACCCTGCGGAGCCTTCGACACAACGCTGATCAAACTACTACGCCACTCGCCAACCAAGTTACTACGCCATTCACCCCCATTGTTCGGAAAGTGCCGTTTCCTAGGACTAAGGAGCAAACTACTCCGTTTAAGAAAACGAGAACCGAAGAGCATGATAAACTTTAAAACTTTGTAAACTCTGCCATACTAGCCTATTGATTAGGTTATCACTTACCCATTCCGGTGCTTATTTTCTCTCTCATTATCCGGCCTGATTCAAAATTTATACTAAGATAAAATTTTTTTCTAGAGGGGGAAGTGTCATGAGGCGACCTTCGGTACCTCATTATATTCTATTTACTTATGTATTGTCTTATCTAACTATATCTTATTTATTTACTTATAGTGCAGTAAATGGATTCAAGGACAAATCTCACCAGCCAATTCGTTTGTCACTTGAGATTCGGAAGCGGTCATTTGCGAAAGCCTTAAGTGTGAATTCAAGTCATAAACATTATACCTTAAAACTATACATTCAATTCTGGATTCGATAATCATTTATTCGTTACTTTATTCTATCTATATATCTATCTTATCTAATTCAATATCTGAATTTTATAACATCTTTTTCCCTACTCAAACTGAGGGAAATCTCAACCATTAAACCCTATGACTTCTCATTTTAAAGTCGGAAATCAATTTTTCACTCATTTCTTAATGTAAAAATATGGGACAAAATATCCAATTGCACTGTTTATTGACCCATTAAAGCATTTAAGCTCGAAGATGTTGCCAAGAACTCACAGGTCAAATTGAAGGACTATGAGTCATGATCAATGGCCACCTTGGTTGCATTGTTATTTCAATTGCAATGATAAGAATGATTTTATGTGTATATTACTCGAAAAAACAATTTTTCAACGTGCAAGCAGCGTTGAAAGGGGAGTTTAAAATATAGTTTAATTTACTTGCGGAGCATAAAATGATTTGCTCGCAAGTAAATATAAGTATATTTTTTTCACATTTATATCCTGGTTTTGACGTACGTATGAAGGCACAGATCCACGATTCTGTTGACCTTTTTGTTCCGACATTCGAATGAAAAATTTTGATTATTATCGTACAACTATGTGATGCGAGGGTCAATTATATTATAAGCCTTATAACTTATTTTTTAATATAATTATGATAATAAAAATCAATGATCACATCGTAAACGTACAAGTATCGCTTGCGAGGTGTTCAATTATACGCCTTATAATAATTTTTTATACAACAAGAAAAAAAAAGATTATTACGTAAACGTACAAATATCGCTTGCGAGGTTCAATTATACGCCTTATAATACTTTTTTATACAACAAGAAAAAAAAGATTAGTACGTAAACGTACAAATATCGCTTGCGAGGTTCAATTATACGCCTTATAATACTTTTTTATACAACAAGAAAAAAAAGATTATTACGTAAACGTACAAATATCGCTTGCGAGGTTCAATTATACGCCTTATAATATTTTTTTATACAACAAGAAAAAAAAAGATTATTACGTAAACGTACAAGTATCGGGTGTGAGGTTAATCATGTCGTCACAGAGGAACTCGTCGCTGTAGTCTCCGCAGTCGTTGAATGTGTCACACCTCTGCTCAGCTGAGCCATCCAGGGCAGTGGTGATGCAGTTGCCATTGGCACACGTCATCTCATAGATCCCACATGTAGTGCCACACCCCAACTCATCCTGGGAGGAGAGGGGAAAAATAAAATGTTAATTTTTTATAAGATAAAAAACATAGTAAATTAATTTTAAATTAGATACACAGACAATTCTTCCTGGGATGAGAGGGGAAAAATAAAATGTTAATTTTTTATAAAATAAAATAAAAATATTAAATTAATTTTAAATTTGATACACAGACAATTCTTCCTGGGATTAGAGGGGGAAATTAAAATGTTATGATAAATTTTCATTTTGATAATTTTCATTTTGATACATATAAAGTGCAGATTTAAATTAACCGGACAAAACGCGCTAAACTTGAAATTTAAAATCCGTTTTTCTCAAAATGGGTTGAGTTTAGGTGAAAACTTATGAAGACAAAACTTGCTTAAAATTTTAGCAGAATTAATATAATAATTTGTTTTGCGAAATTCGGGTCCAAAATTTTACCTCAAAAATGGGTCATTTTGGCTTTTCTTAGTTAATCAAAAATTACGCCGAAAATACCCAATCGATCACAGACATAATTATTTCAAAGTGAGCCCCTTACGTATTCCAACAAACTTCATGAAGGGTATTTTTTCCAAAAAAAAATTGCAAATTGTTTAAAAATTGGTATTTTATATAGTAAAAATGACCTTTTTTGTCTATCAAACAAAAATAAATTATTTTATACAATTATTTGGAGATTATACCCTGTTTAAAGTTTGTTGGACGGACTACGTAAGGGGCTCACTTTGATATAAATATGTCTGTGATCGATTGGGTATTTTCGGCGTAATTTTTGATTTACTAAGAAAAGCCAAAATGACCCATTTGTGGGGTAAAATTTCGGAATGGAATTTCGCAAAACAAATTACACCATATTAATTCTAAGCAAAATTTTAAGCAATTTTTGTCTTCATAAGTTTTCACCTAACTCAACTGAATTTGAGAAAAATGCGTTTTAAATTTCAAGTTTAACGCGTTTTGTCCGGTTAATTTAAATCAGCACTGTAGACACAAGTCATAATTGTGACCGACTGCCATAAAAGTAGCACCAAATTGCAAGAACATCAAACAGTTTTAGCAACCCTAAGAGTGATGCATTCTGAAATATATTAATAAACTGCCAAAACAAATAAAATAAGGATAGTCGGTTTCTATGCAAATAGCAAATAGTGTTCCGACCAATATCTTAGAAAATACAACAAAAATATTTTTTTTTTCAATTTTTTTTCTAAGTTTCCCTAGATAATGTGATAAAAAAATCTGAACAAAAAGTAAGGACTTGACATATTCGACATTCATAGTGAAATAAGCAAAGTTGAACAAAATTTTTGTAAAAAAAATCAAATATATATTCAATTTTGTTGGCAGTTTTTTGAACTTGGCAGCAAAAATTCGTTTTGCTCCAGTAAAACTAAACTTTTAAGGTTTAAATTAAATCATTTTGAGCTGTTTAGCTATTAAAATCAACTTTTGTAAGCCAGCGCGCTCGCTTTGGTTGCTCGAATTAGGACCTAAAAATCAAAAATGTTAAGTGTTGTTCTCAATACTGTGACACTTTTTCGAAAATTTTCATTGTCTCTTGAATCACAGCTGAATGGGCTTCAACATGATATGCAATTCAATTCATTCCGATGATTATTCGTCATGCCTGACTTTGCACAGAAAAACAAAAAAAGACAAAAATAAAAGACAGCCGAATACAAAATTCCTTCCCATTTTTCAAGTCGGAGCAACAAGTTGTTAATTTTTCTTTTTTCTGAGGCATTGCTAGTAGACAGGCTGAAATAAGCCTATTGGTACCATGTCAATTTGGTGTTACTATTTTTTTTTGATGCCGATTGGATCAGTTAAACAGAATCTGTAAGCAACTCCTCTTAGTATTCTTATAATAAAACCGGGTTTTGAGAACAGCATATCGTTTTAGAGGGATGAAAGATGATTCCTATTTACAACCAAAAAATCTAATTCCAAAAAACCCAATTTATTTTTCCCAGTTTTCATGTCAGTTAATTTAATCAGATATTTAAACACACACAAAAATAGGTTTATTATGAATTTCACTAATTTGAATATAACGGAAAGTCTGCCCAAAATACTGACCTGCACATTAAAATTACATTAGACTTGAATTGACTCAAATTAAAGCTAGCCAACAAAAAAAAATAACTGAAAAAAATTGAGCTTTCGAGAGAGAAATGTATCAGGTTAAAGTGGAAATTTGTCAAGTTTTTGAGAAAACTCATCAAGTTTTTGCGGAAATTGATCAAGTTTTTGCACCATTTCCGAATTCTTAATTTGAGAATACAAATCGATTTTTAGCGAATTAATTCCAACTGACCTCTGAAAGTGCAGATAAAACTAAGTGCATTCATAAATGCATTCATAAATACAACTAAGCCAATTCATGAATAAAAATTTGATTTTTTCCAACCCTGTAGCTCGACAATTTAATGATTTTTTTATATAGCAAGAAAATGTGATTATGATAATGACGGTTTTTGTGAAAAAAAAACAAAATTTCAAGACTTATGATTTTGTCGTAGTCTTGGTTTAAGCGCAGCAATATGCAGATTTGTTCAATTTAGCGCCGAAAAAGTAATTTACTGGAAGAAGAATTATTTCAATTTTCCAGTCAAAACCCCAATCGATTTTGCGTCCGTTATAGAAATCTGACAGGGGCTATTCTCATGCGCAAAGGAACGAATGGGCGAAAAAAACTCGTGAGCGAAGGACAGAAAACAAAAGTAGTCGAATGTCAATTTTTAAAAAGAAGCAATTGCCTTTCAATTAAAATGAATTAAAAGAAACAATATTTTGCTTCTTTCATAAAGAAATGGCCCTTGAAATATAAAATTTGTTCAATTCGGTGGCAGTCAGTGACAAATTGAAAAATTTCTGCCGTTTTTTTATTCAGCCAATATCAATATTCAGTCCCTGGAAAGGTTAACTTTCTTTCCAAGTTTTAGATTACTGAAATCTGAATGGCTGATTTTTAGTTTTGCGCATTCGGTCCTTCGCGTGTGAGGGATTCCACCAAATTTGACTACCTAAAGAAACAGTTTTGAGTGGCATAGCACAACTATTTTCATATTAATGATCAACACGACAATCGGGAACCGACCTTTTACCAGACCGACCTTTTACCAAAATAGTTATTACATAGACTTTTTACCTGACTCGATAAACAAAGTTGATTGATAGAAATAATGTCGCCGTTTAGTCTGGTTAAAGACAATGATTTCACGGTTTCTCAGCGAATTTTTGTTTGTTCTAAACCGCTTCCATTCTAATCTTCCTCTAACTTAAACTTATCTTAATTGAATTTTTGCATTGTGGTCTGGTGAAACGTTGGTTTGGTAAAAGGTCGGTCTGGTAAAAGGTCGGTCTGGTACAGTACCTAGTCCCACGACAATTACTCGAGCATTTAAAGTCAATTCCTAACAATTTGACACTATTACTGCGTTTTGGTACATCAAGTTTTCTTTAATTAAAAGAAAAAAACAAGATATTATGAGCACCTACGAGATTCCACTGAAAGGATGCTTTTGAAATTTTAATTTAGAACTTTTGCTTTTCTTTGTTGTTTAGTTGACTCAACAATGAACTTTCGATCTTAGTGAATGATTTTTGTTAGCAGCTTTTTGATAAATAATTTATTTCAATATTTTTGGAGCTTTATTCAAATTTCGTAATTTTCAATTAGACCATAGTATACATGGGAGTTGGAAAAGAATCAATTAATGCAAACTAACTGGAAAAGTGTTTTATTTTAAAAAAGTCTCAAATTTTTGACTTCAACAAGAATATATCATTCCTTGAAACTCTAATAAATTACTGGAACAGTTTATTAGCGATTTTTTCAAAGTAAAATTAACTCTATTTGAGATGACTTGATTGATTGGTATTTTTTTGAGCTGGCAAATCTGAAAATTAAATCCTATTTTGATACTAGAGTTCAATCACGTTCTTCGTGAAATTCACAATTTTGCTGATTAAAAGTGGAGTCTGATTTCCATTCAACAAAAAAAAACAATGTAAATGAAAAAGAAATCAAAATTCAAACCGCGAAAAATTTGAGCCTGAATAAATTTTAGAGTTTTCACGTAAAAAAGAAGAAACTTCTTCTTTATTATGTCAAACGACCTATATAAAAGTGTTCACTATGATTATCGATTCTTAACAGCATCGGAACTGAATTGGCTCCCAGCGCTGTCAACCAATTTGATTGTTCGTTCTATGAAATTTGAAAAATTAGAGCTTGCAAAATCGTGAAGCAATTTTTTCTGAATGAACAAAAAATGGCCTTAAAAAGCGAGAAATGCAATTGCAACAACATTTAGTCTTTTTCAACGTTTTTTTTTCAGATAGTCAGCGCATCTTGCGTAGATACTTGTTAGTTGTTTTGTAAATACAAGGAAACTCATAATTTGATTTGACTAAATTGGCTGTTTTTCTAACGGTTGTCATAAAATGACTGTTTTTGATTCAAGCACGAATTTCTTTAATTTCACGTGACTGTCTTTTGTCATTTAAACTTCATCAGATAGGACCTATTTTTTCAAAAAAAAAACTTGATATTTCTGACTTTTCTTGATGATAGAAAGGCTTGATTTGTTGAGCCAAACTTTTTGAATCCACCCTCAAGTTGTAAATTGAGAAATGTTTACCTCAAATGATCCGCAGTCGTTCTCCCCGTTGCAGACCAGGTTCGTCCCCCCTGGGTCAGCATCCACACACCTGTTGGCTGTCTCGAAACACTCGTATTGCTTCTCTGAAACAAACAAAAACATAAGTAAAAAATCTATTTAGGGAAAAGCGCTGTTTTTACACAACGGTTGGCAATAATTTATCGTTGTCATGGAATCATAAATGGTTCCACAGAAGACATATGGGCTCTTTTCCAGTTTTCCATCCCCTTGTAAAACTACGAAATAAGGCGTTCAAGAATTGTTCACGCGGTTTTTTGCATATAAGAAATGTTGTGAAAACTTGTTCACTTGTTCACGCTGGCATGTTTTAAAGCAATTTATACATTGAGGCGAAGCTTCACTGCGCAAAAACTTACGAGAACACGAGCAAAAAGCAGCTCTATCAAGTAAAATAAGAAAAGTAGAAATAAGCCTCGAATTAGGAAAAACTTGGCTATGTGTAAGAGTCGAATCTGCGACCTACTGCAATCAAGATACTTTGAGTCTCACGCAATAGCCACTCAGCGACGCAAGCTTAACAACCGAAAAATACTAGTCATGAATAAAACAGCTACATATGCTAATCAATTTCCAATGCCATTCAGCAAAATTGGCACCAAATACAATTAGACTCAATTTCGCCAGTAATAATTTGGAATAGAACAAACTGAAGGCATCCACGCTAACTTTGCATGTAACAAGTCGCAAAGCATAAAACCACAATATGTATAAATCATGCATTTCAAAAAATTGCCAGACATAATAAGTTAGAAAATTTTTGAAATCGAGTTTTCATTATTGTTATGTTGTTTGAAACAAATCATTTTTTTCGGTTCATTTGATGAATTAAAAATGCATCAACAGTGTTTACTTATTACTGTTTGAATATCAGAGCACATGCTATGAAAATACTGTAGAGGTGCCCCATAAGTGTTAGCAAAAATTGGAATAGGTGAAGAAAAAAAAGAAATTTCGTACTAATATACTCGCTTGGCTAGTGTAAAAATGAAAAAGTAATTTTAAATAGTTTTTCATTTTTGTTTTTAGAAAAAACTTAAAAAGGGGCTGAAAAAGGGCTGTCGTGTGCCCTGCCCTAGGGCCCTATTTTTGAAGAGCATGAATTTTTTATGTTTTCGCTTTTTTTTTAATTAACCAGCCAGAGGCCTAAGCCGAAGGTTAACTATTTAAGGTTAACTAAGCTATGGCAACCTTACAAGATGTCACCTTGTAAATTGCGGCGAGCGTGCGATTTGAACCCGCAAAAATATGGTTGCTGGGCAGCATCACTACCGATGCGCCACAACACCACACAGATTGCAATCTTACATTATAAATGCCGTTCAAAAATTTTTAGCAAAAATGTTGGACTATGTGGTTATGAGACGAAAATGTTTTTTTTTTCTCGCGCTTTTTAAAATTTTTTTAAAAATTTCAGGAGTTTTTAGGCTTAAAACTCACTTTTTTCCCATGAATCAAACAAACATTTTAATTATACTTTTCAACTTATTTTTCTCATGCCGATTGGTTCATCAATTATGGTACAAGGTATTTCTGAATGATTGCTGTGAGCTTCTTAAATTTTCCGAGTTATCTTTTTTGCGGCTGTCATATATATTACGCAACGTGTCCTACCTCCGCAGGTGTTTGCCAGTTTGTCATCGCAGTTGATCTCGTCTCCGAAGTTGTCGCAGTCGTTGTAGCCATCGCACAGTTTGCTAGTGGCCACACATCCAGCTGTGTTGTCTGCTGGAAGGACATTAGTCGCACCCAGTCCACAGTAGAATGAGGACGAGTCACAGGACTGCGTGGTCGACGTACCAATGAAGCCTGAAAAAGTGACCCAAATTGTTCTAACTTTTCACAAAAAAAAACGGTTTTTTTTTTCATTCTCCACTTTTTTTTGAGTTCGCAGAAACATATGTAGTTACTGAAAGCTCTTCGTAAATTTAATGTTAAATAAATTCAGTTTTATAAAATACTGAATCCGGAAAGCTAAAAGTTATAGTGCTTGAAAATTGACAATAGCCAGGTCGAGGAGCTCGACTTGTGTTTCGACTCTCTCGACCGAAATCAAGAATGTTGACTTAGTGCTCGACTTAAATAGCTTCTCGACAGCGGAATTTCAGTCGCAAAACTGCACTTGCTCGACTTTCAAAGTCGAAACATAAGTCGAGCACCTCGACCCGGGCAACATACACAAGGACAGCCGGCTGCTGTGCAACAAAGCGCAAGAAAGTTCGATCATGATCGATTTAAAAATGAACACCGTGGACAGATACACAAGTCTGAGCGCAATTCGAGCTCGTAATGATATACTGCCAATAAAAAAAATTGATCAAAAATTTTTCGTGCAGCAGAACTATCAAGCACTAAAACTTTTTGCTTTACTGATTCAGTATTTTATAATACTCAATTTGTTTTGCATTAAATTTAAAAAGAGTTTTCAGTGCCTACGTATGTTTCTGAAATGGCGAATGTTCAAAAAACAGTTTTTGTGAAAACTTAGAACAATTTTGAGAAAAAAAAAACAATTTTTGACCAAAAATTTAACTGTTCTCGAGAAAAATGGAAAGTGATCTCATAACAATATATTCCTTATACTTTTTTATGTCTATTACCTGACGTCAAATGACTTCAAATGCGAGTACTAAGTTCTCTGACACTTACATCCGTGTTCGTCCTCTCCGAGGTCGCAGTCTTTGTACCCGTCGCACTCTGCACCCTCCGGGACACATACATTAGAGCCATTGTTGCAGTGGAAATGGTCCTTGTTAGCCCCACATGTACCGAAAGCACCTGCAAGAGAAAGTGTTGTATTTACAACTGGTGGTACGTAAACCCACAGAAAGTATAGATCAGCCGAAGTATAAACCAGCCGAAGTATACACCAGACGCTGCATCAACCAGTCAAAAACACTTAGGTATTATGTAGTAGTTGTGTAATAAGTATGTGACAGCCACAAAAATTATGCAATTTCATTCATATGATTGCGAAGTGACAAAAATAGAAAAAAAAATTGATTATCCAATGAAAAATATACAGATTTTAGAAATTGTAATTCAAGTTTTTTTTACAGTAATACTTCGATTATGACCGTTAGATAATCGAATAGCATTCATTTTGTTTTGTAAAGAATTTATACAGTACATCTTCGATATATAATCACTAAGGTTAAATAAGATCCTTTTACTGCGCTCATTAGGCATAATTTTAGCTGAGCGCGTGGGCAAACTGTGCATTTAGTCGCGCATAGTTTGTCTTGTCTTGTGTTGTTTGATTTATTGATGAAATTCAATTAAAATTTGTTATGCTGTTTTGGTCACTGTCGCAGTTGGAGTCTTCCTTGATGCGCAGCTGCTGGTTTGTCGGACTGCTTCTTCACTTCAGCCGAAGAAGTTTCAGCGTGAAAAAAAATTGTTCAGAAAAATATTCAGAGTACAATTTTTTAAATTGTTTTTGGATCTCCTTAACTATTTCACTCCATTGCAAAAGGGGGAAATTTGTTAATCAGCTCAATATCTGCATACGTCTTAACATTGCTCCATTTCTCAATAGGGTGACGATTTTTTACTAGGTATCATAGAGGGGTTTGGGCTCGTAGTTCAAGAGACTCCGTTGTTCATTTTTTTATTTTTATAATTTTGTGTTCACTCAAAGATATATTTTGCTCAATTTGAATTCAAATTTTTTTTCTTGTTTTCAAAATGTACGATTTTTTAGAAGAGCAAAACTTATTTTTTAGGCAATATAATAGATTTTTTTGTCCTTCAAAATCGATTTTCAACAGATTATCTGCAGATTATATACAGGCTGTTTTTTATACAGATAATCTAGGTATCATATACAGATTATATACAGGGGACTGTATATAATCCTTCATACATTTTGGTGAAAAAAATCAATTCTATCTGTAATGATCGACAATAGTTCGTAAAATGGTAGTCGATAAATCAATGGTTAAAGAGAAAACTTCTTGACTGGCTTATATACTCTGCGCATTTTCGGTTGGCTTATATTTTGGCTGGTTTATTCTCACACGAATTTAAGGCGTGAACAGTAAAGGTACTAACAGTGTTGTTCGTCTGAGAAGTCGTGGCAGTCGTTGATTCCATCACACAAAGTAGTGTTTTTCACACACTGCTGAGGGGTGGAGATCTTGCATCTGAACTCGTCATCATTACAAGTACCGCCTACAATTATAAATTAAATTCTAGGGGTATATATTGGTACTGAAAATTCCGAAGGTACCTTTAAAAAAGTTAAATCATCGGTCATGCAAAATGGGTATCTTCTTAAAACCGTACCAAACAGGATACCCTTTGGGTAATCAGGCGGTCGAATCTTTGGGGGGGGGGGGGGGGGGGGGTGGGGGGTGTGAGGTTAAATTTGCTTAACTGAATGTAGTATACACTTTGCTTAACTGAATGTAGTATACACTGAATTCATATACACTTTTACTGAATGTAGTAAAAGTGTATATTTCAAAAAGTTTTCCACAGAGTCGAGAAAATTGGTCAGAATATTTTTTGTTTTTCAGTTAAATCAGTAACCACCAATTTGGATCGTTCTCGATTTCATATTGCATTGATAGTTTGCTTAAGCTATTAAATCCCTTTTTAGGGTTTTCTCTAGTCGCCAATGTTGCTACCAAAAAACCGGTAAAAGTGAGTAAAATTTTTTTTAACCATGATTGTCGGTGTTGGAATTTTTTAAGTTCAAATCTATATTTTGTGCTTACAGCCTATTTCGTCAACGTAGGAGTTTGTATAGAAGCAGTCGTTGTCGCCATTGCACGTGTCTCCAGATGCGATGCATTTCTGATCGTCGGCACCTCCTATTGCCCCACAGTCGAACTGATTCGGGGCACAACCATTCGGCCCATTGGTACATCTGAACAAGTTCCATCCATCAACTTATAAAAATGAGAATCAAAATTTTTGAGTTTTTTCTTTGAGTCCAGATTTGAATTTGGCCCCAAAAATTGATATTTGTAATTTTATTGTGAAACAGAAACACATTGTATTCGAATGAAACCGAATGTTACATATTTTTCCAAAGAAATTTTTTTTATCGAATTGTACAAAAAGAACTTTTTATTTATGGAAGTCAACCCGGGTAGGTAAAACATTTCGCAGATTTAATATACAAGTAGAATTGTAATATACTTGTAGAACATAACGTATAATGATTCAGATTGAATTCTTAGACATAAAATTACCAATAAATAATTCAAGTTTTTTGGAACCAAAACGGCGTTTAAAATAAACTTTTTTCAAGACAAATACAGTGTTGTTCGTTATCCGAATGAATCGAATAAAAGCTGAAGTTTAAAACGCGTTTTTCTCAAATTAGGTTGACTTTAAATAAAAAAATGATAAAAATGTGGTTGGATTTTCAACAGAATTAATATGATGCAATTTATTTTGCGATTATTAGGTTTTTAAAACTAACCCCAAAAATGTCCATTTTTGAGTTTTTTGTCAATCAAAAACACGCCAAAACTTTTGGTTCAGTTGGTGACAAAAGTAAATAAAAGTGAGCCTTTTATATAGCCCAGCAAAATTTAAGAAGGTATAATTTCTAAAAATTGGCGCAAAACATAAGATTTGCTTTTAAATTTAAAAAAAGTGGTATTTTATCCAGTAAAGTTGACCATTTTTGGCTATCAAACAAAAATAAAATCAATAAAGCCAAACTGAGACAATTATGTATATCCTTCTTATCAGGGGCAGATTTAGGGGAGGGGGGCAAGCAAACGGACGCTCCGCCCCCCCCCCCGCCCTCCAGGGATTCGACCCCCTGCTGTCCCAGAGGGTCCCCCCTTTGATACTTTTTAAGTTTTTAAGAAATCCTTTTTTGGCCGACCGACTCTAAAGTTTTTCTAAAGGCGCCTTCGGCGCGCATAGATACTTATTTTGAGAGGGAGCTCGCGTCAAAAAACGCGACTTTTTTGGCAAAATTTTCCAAAAAGTGCCTAAAAACGGCTTTTTTGACCTGTTTTTTGTGCAGGCAAATTTTTGAAAAAAAAAGCATTTTTAGGCATTTTTTGAAAATTTCGACCAAAAAATCGCGTTGTTTCGGCGCGCGCTCCCCCTTTAAAATTAGTATATATTGGCGCCCGGCCAAAAATGGTCGGTCGGCCAAAAATGGATTTCTTAAAAAGTACCAAAGGGGGGACCCTATGGGTCGGCAGAGGGTCGAATCCCTGAAAAGAAAGCGTTCGCCTCCCCCGCCCCCCTAAATCCACTACTGCTTTGATACTTTGTTGTCAGCAATTGAACCAATAGTTTTGAGATAAATTTTATTCGACTAAAAAACCGAAAATGGACGTTTTTGTGGTTAAATTTTAAGCCCAAATTTTGCAAACTAAATTGAACTATACTAATTTTGCTGAAATTTTAAGCAAGTCTTGTCGTCATCATTTTTTTGTCTAATGTCAACCCAATTTGATTAAATGCGTTTTAAATTTTATTGGTTTCGTCCGAATATTTTAAATCAGCACGGTAGTTGACCTCAATTCATTTTGTCTTGGTTTAAGGGAAGGATTAAGTCTGGGTTTACGCTTTAATAGGAAAATTATTGCGTTTTATTTATACCAAATTGAGCAAATTGGCAATTTTTAAACCTCCAAGCAAAGCCAAACGACTAACAATTACAAGTGAAACTTTTTTTGAGCTTAGGTTATGGATATATATATTTTTCAGATGGTATAAAAAGCATCAACCCAAAAATCCATTGCTGTTCACTGAAACTGCGAAATTTTTATGAAAAAAACACTTAGTAAAAATATGTCGGGCTTCTGATTTGCGAACAAAAAGCTTTAAATGGAGTTTGAATACATTCTGAAGGCAAATTTATTTTGTTAGAGAAATTTGAACACCGGTTATTAAAGTAAACTTGGCGTGCCGCACCAAAGGGACTAATTACACAAGCTAAGCAGCACACATCTCACATGCAAGTCGCTACACCCCGGTTCTAATCTATCCAAGGACGTTAAATGCCACTTGCACCCACCCAATTTCGTCGGCGAAGTCTCCGCAGTCGTTGTCCCCGTCGCACACCTCTCTCCCACCTCCTCCAATCATTTTGACACACCTGTTGCGATTCGGACACTTGTATTCACCCTCGCCACACCCATCGTCGCCTGAAAGTGTTCATACAATAGGGAACTACAATTTACAAAAACGTGCTTCAAATTTGCTCACTTGATCACTACGAAAGGCGGTTAAATCTGTTCACTTGTTCACACTCTTATGTTTTATTGCTATGTTTAAAATAACATAAATTCGGTGAAGTCATTCTAAAAAGGTTTTCGTTAGCCCAATTTTAGAAAAAAAAATCAAGCGGATTACTGCTAAAGAGTTGTTTTTTTTTCTCGAAAATTGGCCTGTGGCGTAAATAACTTTCGATACATTTTAGTTTTGTTTCAGTTTAAGAACGTCAAAAATCACTAAAAATAGGCGTTTGTAATTTTTTCAGATAAATTAAGTGAGAGAAGAACTAGGCACATAAGTGAGTTCTAGGTGAATAAGACGACCAGCCATTAAGACGACAGGACATTAAGACGACAAATAAGCGTTATTACATGTAAATTTATCATTTCGAATTTAAGCTGTTCAAATTTATCAGAAATACAATGTGCAGAATCTAGCGTCGTCTCAAAGTCCCATCAAAAACAGTTGTCGTATTAACGGCTGTCGTCTTTTTGCCGGTCATCGTTTTCAAGATACCTTACATGCATCTTGAAAACAGTGACCGGCAAATAAGGCGACAGCCGTTAAGACGACAAGTGTTTTGATGGGACTTTGAGACGACGCTACACGCAATTCTTGGCATATAGATGGAAAAGGAGTGCTTACAATGGTCTTCGTCACTGAAGTCGCCGCAGTTGTTGAGTCCGTCGCAGAAGTAATTCGGAGTTGTGATGTCCACACATGTAGAGTCCTTTCGACACAGCCACTCATCGACGTCACAGTTAATAGTCGCATCTAAATAAATATCAGCTGAGAGAAATTAACTGTGTTTTAATCGTTCTTGCCAAATTGTTAGCAATTTTCTATTCAATTAACAAATCTTAACGAAGTCAATTAACACAAAGTTGATCTTTTTGACGTCAGCAGCTTTTTTTACTCATTTAAGTGCGTAAAAAACCGTGTCAAAAATTCTAATTAATCTAAAAACGACATTTTTTGATTGCGAATAATTTGCTATAGGTCGCAGATAATGGCAGCAATTCGGCCCTATCTATATAAATTCAAGATAAGCACAATTTAACCGCTATTGAAATGTCAAACATACAAGCTGCTCAGCTTTTAAGGTGCAGCGCTGTTTTGCACCTATGATTAAGAGCTACATGCTATTTTTTGTGCTGAGATTTTTCCTCGTTTGCGGGCAACGCGCAAAGATTATTGACGAAAGAAAAAAAACATACTTAGATGCATTTGTAAACTAAGTTTTCAAAGCAAGCGCGCGCCAAAAATGACTGCAAAAATCGTATTTTACAAAAAAAATCGGAATTTTATAGAAATTAACTTCAAATTTTGTGCCATTTTGTGCCAACTTCAAATAATGGTTTTTTCTTTTTTTATAAGAAAGCTATAAAAATCAAAAACTGACTTAGTCTAAAAACCTTAAAAATAGTTGAACCCTGAGTGGCTCTTACGTTAAGAGCAACTTAGATACATTTTAGGCGAATTATTCAGTTTTTTTATTTTTCAGTACCCTCACAAAACGAGAAAAAGACCAAAACTTCAGCTCCGAAAAAAATTCCTGCAAACACTGGTTCTGCTTTTCACTTACCTTTACATCCCAATTCGTCCTCGAATCCAGTACTGCCGCAGTTGTTCACTCCGTCACACGTCTCTGTATTGGCACCAGAGTGAAAAGAATCGATACACTTGTCGAAATTGAACGTACCTGCCGTCTGAAATTCATCACATATCAAGTTTGGCGGAACCCTTCATGCCAGGAAAATCAAATGTCCAAAAAGAAAACAAATAAACTAGCCGAAGTATAAACCAACAGAAAATGCGCGGAGTATATGAGCCAGCCGAAAAGTTACATCATATGAATGAAGTTGCTTAACTTTCATAATTGTTATATTATTGTTACATAACCTTTATATAACACTTACGTATTTTCGGCTGGTTGTTAATTCGGCTGGCTGGCTTAAATACCAACGTCCGAAAACTAAGTTAGCCAATCAGAATTCAGTGTTCGAAAACTTTGTTGATAAAGCAAAAAAAATTGCCAGTTTTCAAATGTTTGAAGGGTGCTGATTGATTGAATGTTTTCACTCATTTGGTCTCTCTGTAATGAAATTAGCCCTCTAAAAATTGACTATCCCTACCTACGGGAGCGTTCGACAGTGCCAAAGTACAACAGTGCCGAAAAAGGCGGGAAAATTTCAAAATAACTTAAACGCATTTTCTAAAGAGCGAGAAATTACTGACGCTAATTATCAAAGAAAATCACTCCAATTTTGGCGCAAAAATGTCTGCAACTGCAAATTAAACAATTATTTAGGCGCTAAAACTTCTAAATTGCAAATTTTCTCTCCCAAAATCTTTAAGTGCCACTTAAGATTGTAAGCGATCGCCGTTTAATTTTTGTTTGCCGCACTTAATATGTTGAAATTTGTTCATATTTTCGGCACTGTTGAACAAAATTTTCATTTTCGGCACTGTTGAACTAAGTTTTACGTTTCGGCACTGTTGTACTTCGGCACTGTTGTACTGCCCCCTACCTACACTTCTTACAACAAGCTTGTCATTTTTTCAGCCCTATTTATTCGCCAACAAATAAATTGCTTAAACCTAAGTTACTTTTTTAGTTATAATTAAAAAAGCAAGCATTTCACAAAATCTCTATTCATTTAATAAAGAGTATTTTTTAAGCAAATTTTGTCTTTTTTTTCTGTAAAATATCACTCTTATTTAAGAAATTACTTCAACCTCGAACATTGCTTTAAAGTTGAATTTCTGAAGCTATATTCAAAATCAGCTTAAAAACAATGATGAACATAAAAAGTATCTGGAGCCGCAGATACAATTTGAAAATTTGGTTACAGAAGACCACGCATTGACGAAGTGAAATAAAAGTAATTTTTTTTTCAAGTATATCAATTTTTTCAAATATATCGTTTACTCGACAAAAAATATAATTTCTTGCCTAACAATGCTCTTAAGCTATTGTTTGGTACCGTATACTGATCAATTTTAGGTGAATGACAAGGATACAGGTCTGATATAGGCAGTGAATTTAATAGTAAGCAAAACAAGCAAAAAGGTGGAGTCCCTCATAATGGAGGGACCGAATGTTGGAAACTTTTTTCATTCAATCAGAACTGAGTTTTCAAAAATCTCAAATTTTTTTTTGGAAAATCTCAACGAAAGCTAATAAATTCAAGCCATTTTAATTAATATGGTGAAGGCCCATTTGTACCAACGTTAGTTTGAACCAAATAGAAAAATCGGTCCAATTATTCAACTCGTTTTCTGATTGGTCGAATTGTGAGCCAACAAATTATTACATTAGTTTTCTACAGTTTAAACAGAAGAAAACTAAGCAGCAGAATAGCGACCGTCGCAGTCGCGCCAACGTGTTGCGAGCTTGCCAAGAAAGGGTAGGACTCTATACGAAAATAAGAGCCGGTTATCGCCGCGAAGCGGCGACGCGCGCGTAGCGCTCCCACCGACGACCTCAAACCAAGAGCTTAAAATATTCGGCTTTGTAGTCTTCGGCCAATAGAATATTTTTGGTACTAATGGGATTGATTTTGTTTTGGTGAAAATGAGACTGATTTATCATTTTGGTACTTGTGAATACCCACCGTTAATATAGACTGATTTGAAAGTAAGCAGATACTCGCATGCATCGGCTTAAGTTTTAGTTGCAAATGTGAGTAAACAAACTCAGTTTTAATTGCGCTAACGGCCGTATGCTAGTAGGACGGTACCCTCATTTTTCTAGTTTCAATAAATCTGAAGAAGGAACAAACTTTGAAGAAGGAACCGCGTCAGGAAGGAACAAATTTTAAAAAAAATTAAGGGTTAAGGGTATTTGAATCTTGTACATAGTAGTGAATTTTTCCCTTTTTGCAAAAAAAGGGGAAAGGGGGTTGATAAATGGATGCGGAATGATCAAATTGTAAGAATTATACGCGGATATTCGACAATCCGCCATATCTACAAACCACCTCGCCATACCCTGAAGCCAAATTACATCAAAATTATATAACAATTGCACAACTACTGTGAAAATCTGTTAGGCTGCGGAACAATATTAGTTTTTGGCTTGTTGGAATGGTAATCTTAACTTCGATTTGTTGGCCCTTAGGCTTCTTGGCCTATCACCGAGTTATATGAATGCACCCACCCCAGAGCAGTAGAACTCGTCGTTTCTGCAGACATCAGAAGGCGCCACTGTGCACCCCTCCTCGTCCGAGTAGTCGTCGCAGTCGTTCTCCCCGTCACATATCTTGGCCTTATTCACACAAGTGGTGTCATCCTCACACGCAAACTGGGTTCCATTGCAGCCTGCGCAACATTTAGTTATTGTTTATTTTCATTTCTAAGAAAAAATTTCAGATTTCGCTATTGTAGCCCAACCCCCCATCCCCCGTCATAAAACAATATGACAGTGTAATGAGGCTACCTTTTTTAGTAAGCTCAAAAAAATTCACTGTCCCATCATAGATATTTTTTGAAGGTTTTTCTGCGCTATTTTTGGAATAAAAAAACTTTTACAAAAAAAAAAGAAAATTATTGCCCGATTTTCCAATTTTGCTATAAGCTGTTTCATATGCCTCAGTTACAATTTCTCGTTCGATTTTTTTTCGTAGTTTTTCAAAGAATATGTTCGGAACAGTCTGTGCTCCTTGCACAGCAACCGGCTATCCTTGTTTCAATTTGCCGACATCATCGATTTTACTTATATATATAAAAAAGAAAACACAGATGATATTTTAAACACAGATTCAATTTAAAAGCAAGAAGCCAATCATCTGCTATTTTGAAGCTGCACTAAAGGTTAAATTAATTCTAATCCCAGAAAATTCTTGGAACTTCTCAATCAATTATCATGAAGGAGAGTAACCTATCATACAATCCGAACCCAGGCAAATGGGATTGAAGAGGGCGCATTTAAGAGAAAGAAAAAATCTACATCACCCACCCCCCTCCCCCCCTTGACTGCTTACCTTGTGCGCCTGGACATCCAAGTTCGTCCGAATATTCCTCTCCATTGACTCCACCACAGTCGTTCTCTTGATTACACAACAAGGTATCCGCAATGCACCTGTAAACAAGAAAAGTTCCAACTGAACAGGCTTTTGCTCTTCAATCAAAACGGCCTAAACTTGTAAATTTGTAAGTTTGCTGAAACATGAAACGACAAAAAGGAAAAAAAAGAATGTTCT